GATAACATTGCTGCACGTAAGGCTTCCTCTTTTTCTCTGTGAATTTCATCTGACAACACTTGTTGTAGGTGTATACGTGGATCAGCATTGCATCTTGTATGAAAAACCAGTCCTAGAATCTGGTACCATGGGCACAAAAGGCAATACCCAAGTTGTGATTCCCCATCTCACCAAGTCGTACTCGTCTTCGCAAGATCCCCCAGAGAAGCGGACATTGTTGTGCACAGTCAAAAACTTCCCGAGTGCCATTACACACACACTGATTGAGGTGCGCTCTTTAAGTTTTTTCTTGACTAGCAGGGTCTGATAACAACACAGTGGGCTTGGCAAGAGTTCAACGCAATGTTTGTTAAGCTTGTGGAATCTGTCAATCAATATCTTTCGGAGCCTAACTACCTCGAGAGCTCCCTCAAATACTCTGGGCCTGACCCAGATTGTTTCATATCTGGTTACTTGAACAAGCCTTGACTTTCAAGGCATGTATTATCTGGGCTCGTCTGCAGTTCGAGGAAAAGTTTAACAATGCTATCCACCAGCTTCTCCACAGTCCTCCAAAGGATCATGTTCAACACCAGCACGGGCCAGCTGTTCTGGAGTGGACCGACGGGCACGGGCCAGACCCACTCAGGCTTGTGTTTGACTCTTCAGATGTATGTCACCCAGCATGTTGCTAGCCTAGACCTTTAGTACTGATTGTTTTCCTTAGCCCACACATCTTTCTCTTATCATTGCTGCAGCAAATCTTTGAGTCATGCCCTGCAATCTTCAAGAGAAACTGGAGGATTTTGGGCATTTTCACCTGGGTAAAGATCCCACCTCGAACATACTCTCCTAGGTCGGGAGTGTCACCGATGGTGAAAGTATCTGGTCCCTTCACTGTGACCTTGCAAGGATTACAACCATTCAGTTCAGTCATGTCCTGCACTTCGGTGAACGTGACAAAATCGCCATCTTCAAGACTTTGTCTTGATTCATCGAGGCATGTTACCAGCCATTCCTTGTCTTGTTTAATGATAGTATAGATACTAGGACGTCGGGGTTATAGTTCATAAGACTTACTTTTTCCACTGACACAATTATTCCAGTAAGAGCTTGCTCGCCTGTAGGATCCACACAAGTAAATTTTTGAACCAAAGTCATTAAAGACGGAGCTGATCATGATGATCAATAACATAAAAAAAGGAGCCGTAGCCATCACGTACCCAAAAAGACCACGGGTCTCCGCTGAGATAAAGTGAACACCATTCTGAATCCTGATGTGTCCAATCATTGATCTCAACTTGTTTCTCATAAGAGACGCCACATAAGACTTGAACAGTGGAGATTAATATGTGCGTATGAAATTAGGTGGTTGTAGTGGTGAAAGATGAGATCGCGGTGTAGCTGAATAGTAATATCGGAGGTGCCTGACCGTTTGCGATTGAAAACTTAAACCTACATTGAAGTCGGAGTCGCTGGCACTTCCGAAGCACTGTTGTGCTGTCACTGATAGAAAATGTATGTGACATACTGAGCATTACCAGAAAGATACGATACTACATGTGAAAAACAGTACAGTGACAGTCACGGTCAAATTACTATGAACAAATGCAAAGTTACCATCTATCGGTGTTGTGCGAGTTCCACAAGACATATCTGGTCCAAATGCAGAGTTGTAGTAATTGTAGTCATCATAAAAACCTCGACGGTCTTTGACTTCATGTTACATTTTGACACAGGTAGGACGAGCCGGCAATACTCCCCCTCCAAAACGAGGCAATGTTGATTCTTTTTGCGTGGATGAGCTGGGCTAAGATCACTGGCGGGAACATGATAGTACTGTATCTGAGCCCCTGCGCCATTGGATGTGCAGAATACTGCAACACAACCCTCAGGTGCTGGTCCATTAGCGCCACAGAAGGGGTCAGGACATGCAGTTGATACGAATCGTTTGCATAACCTGCCCTGCTCAAACCTCAGCGAGACTTTCAACAATGCATGATGCGTAAGCAATGCTAAAGAAAACTTCTTCTTCATTAACCAGGATAGTGGGCCTATGATCATAATAATAAAGTAAGTGAACAGTGAGCCGATGCCTTCATTTTGAAGGTCTCACCGTTGTCTCCATGTTTCTTGGCTCTAGCCTCAATGTTGTCCTGGATGTCACCCTCGTTAACAGTCCAAGGGTCAGATGCTGATGAGTTGAGATTAGCGGTCCGATTGTCTGTTGCTGGCCCGGAGGGGTTGAGCACTAAGTCGATATCCTCGGGGTTGGTGGTCCAGTGGGACAAGACATTAGAGGACGACAAGCTGGCATTTGTGATAGAACTGGAGGGGACTATTTTTTCGGGTGGGGGGGGTTATACTTCTCAGAGGTTGCACTATCAAATATGATTTTTGCCACATATCACAGAAAGAAACCAGGTCATTCCCTTCGAGTATCGCACCATTTAACCCCATGCCATAACTGAACCATCGTAAGCAATTGCATTACCACGAATATACTAAGCATTCCACTCACCTGGTAATGACATCGGGGCGTTTGAGTATTGTACGCTTCTGTCCATGTATTGCAACGGTACAATCCTTGCTCCCAATATTGTACAGTGTAGCTCGGTAGCCCTTTAAATTACTTCCAACAATGAATACCTCTTTACCGATAACGTGACTGAATGAGTCCACATTCGCATTGCGCAATTTCATCACAAATCTGATGGGTACGTTGGTCTGTAACAATTTAACAGGTGTTCGAGTTGAGCTGCATTGAACTTACGATTGTGTGGTCATGGGTGGACAGTATTGTCAAGCAAGCCTCTGGAATGTTGACACTTTGTACGACCCCCGTCGCCTCATACTCCGGCCCACGAGCGACACTCACCACATCCCCAGGTCTGACATCATAACCCCTGTCTTTCGTAAATTTGATTGTTGGGGGGAGGCGCATCCGTTGAACCATGACTGCAGGAACTTGAATACTTGGGGGTCCTAAGTTTGTATCGTCACCAGTGGTCAGCATAGGATTCACATCCCGGAACCACAGCATGGTCCCTCCCGAAGGAAACCAGTCTACGACGCCGCATTTCCCTATATGCTCTCTGAAAAGGACTTGTATAACATCCCTGATTTGAATATCATCGGGGTCGGGGGGAGGCTCAAAAAATTGCTGAGTTGGCAGCTGTGCTTGTAATGTGTGCTTCAAAGAGCGACGATCCAAATGGTACTTTGAAACTTTGACCTATGCATTAAGTTAGTTTTACAAGATTTGTACTGACACCATGGACCCACCTCTTCCTTCATAGAGGTTTGACAAATGTGAAATATGTCGTCTGTCATTGAAACAATGTGACCTTCTAAACCTAAGTATATACCCACTACGACTCTGACAGTATCGCCAACCCAAAACACGTGCTCGACGTCCTGGAGTCGAACTTCTGATTGTATTTTGTCTCCCTCGATGCTGTATTCCAAACGGACAGAACCAAATGTATGGTCTGTCGAGACTACTTCACCAATCTCTGCGCCAAATTCCCTGATGATGACCCTGGCTGAATCGCCCACGCGCAGGAACTCCAGTGAAAATGCCCGCTCAGCGATCTTCATGGAGGGCCTGTCCCATCCAGAGTCAATATGCAGTTGAATTTCTTCGGGATGAGGGGTGTTGACAACATTTAAGAGATCATGGTGAAAACTCTTTAGTAACAGCCCCTTGTAGTACTCTTCTCCTTTATACGAACATCCCACAACTTCCCCATCATGAATGATATCAGATACTGCATTGCCAGCCGGAAGGCGAGATCGGTCCAGCAATGCCACAGACCCCTTAGGCATAGGATAGGGAAAGTCCCGTAAAGCAACTAAGACCCAGACAAGAGGGTGACCAGACGGCGACTCGTTTGCCGACTTCAAATCTGTGACATAGGCCATGGCGTCCTTGTACTTGCCACGTATGATCCTTACCCACCCTGGACTGGACAGTTGGGATTGTGGATGTTCGACTATCGCACATTCTTTGTCCGAGATCCGAAAATAATCTTTCACGGAAAGTTTGTGTGATATCGGGAGTGATGATGCGATGGCCCGGGGACTCTCTGAGACTACGTAAAGTTGTCCCGGTACCCAGGGGGACACAATAACGGAGAATTTTTTACTTCGAAGGTGTTCTGCGACGTAGTCCGTGACAGTTCCTACCAAATAATGAGTTAGATGCTACGTGATTTAGATTAAACGTACTGTGAACGTTAAGCAAATACATCCTGTTGTCGATCGTGTCGGAGGACCAGGCAGCTCTGTAAGGAATGCGTCTGAGCCTTCCTGGTGGCTTGGAAGCGCGAGCTTGAGCGTCGTATGCGTTGAAGATCTCATCGATCTTCTTAGACAATGTATGTTTAGCTGACTGTCCCGGCAAGGTTGTGACTTTTCGTGGACGCGGAGGGAGGTCATACTCATCCCCCTCTTCTTCTTCTTCTTCTTCTTCTTCTTCTTCTTCTTCTTCCTCCTCATCATCGTCACCCTCTCCTGCTTCCCTGTCGATGAAAATACAATGTTTCACCTACATTTCCTTAGTGTAAGCTCATCGAAGTGAATGTTTCACTTACTTGTTTGCGCTTCGATGCAAATGTAGCTACAAGCATCGAACTCAATACAGAGGGCTCGGGTATGTACCTTCTTTTTAAGGCCATCAAATTATTCATAGCTTCATAGTCGTCGCCGTCACCAGAGAATACCGCAAGTTTGGCTTCTCTCCAGTCATCCTCGCGGTATCGATCGCCGAGGTATGATATTAATCCCTCTTCCGCCTGTCCGTAGGATAATTTGGACTTGAGGTATCGCTCTAGGAAAGACCACGTCCCTGCATCCTCAAGTGGGGATGGCGCATGGCACGTCCCTGTCACGATTATGCGCATGAGGAATAACTGCGACGAGTATCATCATCACTCACCATTCGAGTCATTCCTTATGCGCTTCGAGGGTGGTTCGTCAATCGGTAGTGCCGCGTGTTTGCCAGTCTGACTCGGAGTCATTACTAGCCTGAGTATTGCCGGGCTTTGCCTGTAACTAGTATAGTAGTCACGGTTGGCACGTACTAGTAGCCTGAGTCGAAGTGAACATTAATTTCGGTTTGCATAGGTAAAAGCCTCATTGTAACGTACTAATAGTAGTGTTTATTCAAGTTGGTATGCCAAGTTTACTTACTGGAAGTCGATCCCAGTGTAGTTAGCACGACTTTGATATATCGTATTGAGGCAGTGATCAGTGAGCAGAAAGAAGACTGCAAATGTACAGTGATTGGTATTTATAGTGAATGACTAATTTGGAACCACTACTGTGCTCAGACTAATTTGAAGACTCGTTGGAGTTACTAATACTAGACAATGAGAAATTCGATGATGATTGTGCCAGCCTGAGACTCCTCGGACACCAGCCTGCCAGTGGCGAGTGTGGTGGGTGACTTCTGTGCGCAAACACCTTTCTTTTGTACTACTACCGTGGTGACCATAGTCAATTCTTGAAGTGCCACCGTGGTGCGTGATGCCGCGGTTGCTGAAATTCTCAAGCTTATGCTGTGACTGGGAACTAACTTGAACTTGAATTTTCGGAATTGACTCAGAAGTCCCATTAATAGTATGCACTCACGACTATGACAAACTTCGGCACAGGTCGTGTAAGTGTGACCGACACCATAATGCACCGCTGCCTTTGCTAAAGGCCAAATCGCACGAATCGATATCGATATTGAAATTAGTAGCTAAACTACATATGTATGAGGAGGCAGGAAAAACCAACACTATTGATGACATAGCGGTTGATATAGTGAATGATTCTATGTTCAGACCCAGCCGGCAAATGCCGCGTGAATCTGAGTTTGAATTTAATCATTCACTATATCAGGACGTCTTTTCTCTAAGTGAACCCCTTTCCAGCTACCACGTCCCCGACTTGCATTGTTATCGCGGATCCACCCAAAAACCATCATCCTCAGGCATACCTTCACAATTGATTGATGATGGTATCATTGTTACTCAAAGTCTGTCATCCTTTCGGCAAAAATTGTGTATGTCTTTTCTGTTTCTCTGTGTCCTTGTTTTATTGACGAACTTCATTTTCAGATTGCCTGCTAGCACTGACTTGGGCGTAGCTTGTGTCTGTCTGCTTTGTTGCGAGAGTTTTCGCTGGTGTCAGTACAAGAGAAAAAATTGATGGTGAGCCAAACTCAGCTTTTTCTCGACCTTGTTCTAACAAGGCTCTGCCTAGCATGAAATTTGCAACAGAACAGGTATAACCATTCGGCGGTCGTGTTTTTCAAAGGGACTGACGAAGACCTGAGGCTGGATCAGTACAGAAATGAGGTTGGCGAGTCAGTGTGCTAGGGATAGGGCATCCAGTGAGTGTCGTAGACGAGGAGTCTCTCATACTGATTGAAGGAAGGGGTGTGCAGCATATCATAATCTCTTTTTGGAAGAGGCTGCCAATGCCTCTCAAACATGTTTATTTGCCTGACCCAGCCAGTACTCATGAGGATGTGTTTTCGGTAGGGAATGTCCACGGGAATTCATCCATGACTGTTGGCATTGGACTTTGAGACTTCGAGCTGCGTCGCTATGTGTGCCACCTCGGCATACTCTGATCTCAGCATGTTGCTGTGACTCAGAAATAAAATAAAATAAACAACCTCAATTAGAACATATCTCATTTCTAACTGCCTGGGACTCGTATATTATTTGTGAAAAAAAATAGAAAGGCGCGAAATAAAATGGAACTAAGTGGGGTTAATCGCTATAATGCCGATGAGTGTACTACTACTGGTACCTGCGCATGAGCTTACATCATGCGCACCAGTATTGTAGCATGGGGATTTGATTTCCCTCACAGCATCGATGGCGCTAGGATGGCGAGATTTTTTTATCGATGGCGCTTGATTGGCAAGATTTTTTATTATTACGCTATCGATGGCACTCGGATGACAAGTTGTTTTTGTGACACTTTGAGTTGATATATAAAGTGTCTCATTTCCTATGGCATTTAGACTACTACCACATCGTACAGCTTAGTATGACTATGGGTAACGATGAGAATACTCCCTCTCTTGACGAAGCATCACGCAAGCGCAGTGGTTCGGCGCTTCATATGGGTCCGCGTAAAAAGGCGTGAGTGGTTCAAGTTGCACTCTTGCTAGTGCGTTCCTGAATTTTCCTGAGCAGGACTTCATCAAATCCCCTTGTTCTGCACGGTTGACATTTTGGTCGTACTGTTTTTGCATTATGTAACTATCCTGCTCTCTTGACTGCAGGTATACTCCAGCTCGAAGAATTGCAGGACTCTCCCCTGGAGGATTTTCCAGCTGAGTGAGTTCAGTTGCGTCTATTAGTAGCCGCCGCAAGTATTCTCACCCTACCGCTGACATCAGTGTTCAACGGGAACACAGGGTATTCATAGAGTTACTAGATTCGTATCCTGGTCTGATGGATCATCTAACAAACGGCGAGGAGGAGGATATTATTTATGTGGGAGAAATGGTAAGTTTTGTATGTTGGAAGTTCATCATACTCACCTTTTGCAGCTGGGTAAAGGGGCTTCTGGTGCACGAGGAGACGATACTAAAACCCTCAAAGCTGCTGTCCTCGAATGGCTTGTGCCCAGAGGACAGGCAGTCATACCACCTCTCTCACAAAACATCAAGTCCGACCAGGGGTTTAATCATGAGGTTACTGGTGCGTTACTCTGTCCCGCAGGCCTCGACTGGTTGAATGCAGAGTAAGTCTCAAATCATATCTTCCCTTAATCTAAATATCATGACGCTACCCAGAACTAAGCAGAGTCTTAAGAGCGGTGAAACCGCAGTTCGTGGTGATCAGTGGCCTATTTTCTTATATTCTGGCTATGTTTACGATTCCGAAGATCCATGGAAGGGATTATTAAGAAGTGAGATACTCGTCTTTGTAAGTTAATTCTACGATAAAGTTCTTACCTTTAACAATTACATTTGACAGGGTTTCAAACATGTATTTACATCTCCCAGCTCAGTGGATAAGGAACCCAAAGCTACGCGCTCCGGCAATGCGTACCTCCATGGCATGAAGAGCGTGACAAAAGGTTCCCTTGCATATATTGCAACGCAGGCGCGTATGAAATCTGATCCTTCGTTCGTCTCGTGGCTGATTATTCCTTCAGATTCGGTTTCGTTAAGTTCCTCGTCTGTATTCTCACGGACAGACACAGTCACAGATTCCGAAAATTTCTACCATAGTATTCTCGACCTGTTGGAAGATCCTGACGAAAGTGAAGAAGTATGTGACCTGATGATGTGGTGGACTCGGTTCGTAATCATGCATTATATCTCGAGCTCTAAGTTAATATATTTTACAGTCGGGTGTTCCCTAATTCTTCCTCTTCACAACGCAGCGTCAGCAAAAACAGCGCGCTGTCAAAAATCCGGGAAAGACGTGCTGCCCTTCGAGAATGGACTATTGCTGATGTTCATTAGTCCATTGTATTTCGTAGCTGTACTGCGCTGTAATGCCTGTGAATCCTAGTAATGCAATCAAAGAATTCTCCATAATGTATAATGCAGCACCATGAGCTAGTAATAATAGCATGGGAACCCTCCTACCCAGAGAGGGTTGTGACTCATTGTTGTGCCCTGTCACACTGTCAATGATTGTAGATCTCACCACTGTAGTCTACCTATATAAAGTCAGATGTATTAGTTGGGATGCCAGCAGCTTGTTAACACCAGGCAGCCCATTGTTGTGCCCTGTCACACCATCAATGATTGTACATCCCACCACTGTAGTCTACCTATATAAAGTCAGATGTATTAGTTGGGATGCCAGCAGCTCGTTAACACCAGGCAACCCATTGTTGTGCCCTGTCACACTGTCAATGATTGTAGATTCTGCCACTGTAGTCTACCTATATAAAGTCAGATGTATTAGTTGGGATGCCAGCAGCTTGCTAACATCAGGCGACCCATTATTATCCCCTGTCACACTGTCAATGATTGTGGATCCCACCACTGTAGTCTACCTATATAAAGCTAGGTGTGTTAGGTGGATTTGATAACAGCTTAACAGTGTGTTGATAGATTCTAATAGGTCTAACAATATTGTAGCTTTGGCAGATTCTGCCAATGTAGTCTACCTATCTATTCCTTTATTATTTGGTCTGCAATTATGATATATATTTTCTATATTAGGTATTAGGTACAGTTAGTTAAATCTTTGTCATACAGAAGTCAGATGCCTGATGGATGCGATGGTTGGTTCCAGGAGGTACTGGAGTGCATATGAGGTACCATTTGCACGAGGGCCATGTTCACAGTGATTGTTTCTGTGTACCTGTAAGGATATCGACAGATTACCGATCAACTGTGATACTGACTCCTGATGCCCATTAGATACAGAGAACTGTTCCTCCAGTGCTGTTAGCCTTAAACTAATCCTCTGTTCCACCAAATCTACCCTCGCATGCAAAGCATCCATCTGCTCGTCAGTTTCCAGGAGATCGAATCTCCTACCGAGGTCATGTATGCTTTGCAATATGTCTCTTGCGGTGGGTTCAGGCTCTGAGGGGGTGGCTGCCATGGATGGTATGACAGGTGCTGGCATGTTAACCGGTGGGGGTTGTAGAGATCTGAATGACTGCATATTACGTGATGCCTGCATGTTTGGATCCTCCAGCTGTAGGGACTGGTGTCGGACAGATGGGTGGTGACATACAAGCAGAAGGTGACACTGATACACCTAATGAGTTAGAGGCTGATGAGCATGATCCTGATGGCCAGGAACAGACATTTTTTTGACCAAATTTTGACTTTCTCCCCAGTAACTACTAACAAAGTGGTCGGACACAAATTTTTGGACAGAATGCCCTTGGGCTTCTAGGCCACATGTCAAATTTTTATTGTTTTTAGTAGGAACAAATACTAGGTCATCGTATTTCTGCCGACTTCTGCCAACCACCCTTGACCTACTGCCGGCAATTGCCGCTTGGCAATTGCCACTGGCAGAATGGCAGCATTCTGCCAACAACACTACCAGTGCAGTATCACACAGTGGCGATATCCAGATGCCTCAAACTGATGCAAAGACACGGATATGGAGGCTAAGGAATGTACGACGACAATCGAGACGCCGTCAAACGCAACATAACCGTGAAACACGACAGAACAAGCATGGCAGTGATGTGATGAGAGGCAAGCGAATTGACCAGCCATGAGCAAAAGTTTTGGGGGGTGTCAAAGTGATGGGTGTGATATTGTGGGTAATAGAGTGCATCACAGTATATGGGATAATCATTTATATCATGTGCGATCAGAGGCGGTGGGCAGTCGCGCTCGTCGACTACTCGAGCCGCGCGGCACGGAGACTTCATGACAAACGTCCTGCAAAGGCCTCAGTTCGCAAACGAGAAACAAGACAAGCTGATCTCACATTCCAGGGGGGATTCCAGTGGGGACGCACAGACGTCTGACAACGCACGCAATAGAGACAGGCAGAGCAAAAACCAAGAGTCGACGTTCAAGGAATGGAAATCGGATGGGTTCAAAAACTTTGCGGCCGTTCGGGAGCAAGCGTGAGAACAGCAGAATCGTGGGAATTTGATGCACGATCAAGGGGCCAATTGAGTACTACAGAACCTGGCTTAGGAAGTCAGGGATCCCTTTCCTGTAAATCAGACTCTCCGAGGTCATCTCTTCCATAATCTCGATTGCAATCTCGCCGTTTTGGCCGCGCCCAAACACGACCTGAGGATTTTTTCCCGATAAGGATTGAAGCTCCGGAGTATTCATCAACACCTCTAGCGTGCGTTTCAATATCGCATCCAACGGATCATTGCTTTGACCTGCGCTGGGACCCAGGGAACTCTTAGCTGCGGGGGATGGTACGGCGAAATGTGTTTCGCTATTCAGATAGGAAGGTAGGTCTGAATCTTGTGGTATTCGATGGCCGTCAGGTTTTCGCTGTTCGAGATGGGTAATTTGGGGAGTAGAGTCCAGCGAAGAGTTGATGATTTGCTGACAGCGGATAAAGGTTTGCTCTGGCAATTCCATTCGCGATTTGAATCCAAGTTCTCCGCAGAGACTTGGAGTGTGTACGATCAGCACATAGGAACATGTTTTTGCTTCTCTTACAAGAAGAGATAGAATCCATCATCGTCATCGAGCAATGGAACTGTACTAATAATTTGAGCACGTTGCGGGAATTTTTTTTGAAATAACGTTACCTGAACTTCAACTTCACGAGATTTTCCCGTCTTATCACAGAATGTGCCATCACCTCATCGTTGAACGAGATAACGAGAGCCTAGACCCATGAACAACTTCAAGGTGTCCGACCTGAGCATGCCGATCCGTGACGGCTACGTCCGCTCCTGAATCTTGTGCGGAGGGGGCGCGTCCTAAAGTAAACGCTTCCCACTAGACAATCACTTACAAAGTATTAATCAAATAATACAACACATACTTCTGGGTCCTCAGTGGGTTCTTAAGCTCCCGTACACGCGAGTGAATCATACGCTGCCAAATGGAAAGATCATACCTGGTGAGCGAGGTTGCGTATGAGTGAGTTCCTTGAACTGCCTTGTTTCTTGATTGCGACAGTATGAATAAGTGAACCACGTTTGCCAGTATTTCATTCTGGAAGATGGTCTTCTGGACCGGAATAAAGTAGCCTCGCCTGAACTGAGGAGAGAGTAAAAAACAAAGTGAAAACTATAGCTTGAGGAGGTAGCATGCTAATCGTGACGTACGTAAAGCGAAACCGACTCTTCCTCAACATACGACAGCAGTTCTGAAATCGATTAGTTTAACGATGTCGCCCTGTGTCATGACGCAGTTGTCGAGCTTTAGATCTCTATGTGCTAGGCCTAGAGAGCGAAGGTATGCGACGCCGTTGCAGATCTGACGGAAGACGCAGAAAATTTCTGGACGTAGCATGCGGCCAGACACGACGACGCTGAAGAGGTCGTAGGGAACATACTCCATGACCTGTCGGGGATGAGAGGAGGAAGTTGTTGTGAACGAGCGATAATCTAACCTCATAGTAATGGCCATGATCGCAGACGATGTTGACTGTTTCGATAACCGATTCGCCGGAACGTCTTGGGCGAAATTGCTTGACAGCATAGATACTAGACAGCACCTCCTGCTTTACTTCGTGCACAAATGAGGCAAACTGTGCCACCCGCACCGGTACCGAGTACACGGCCCCACTTGCCATACTTTTTGGATAGATGAGTGTGAATGGCTTTGGAGAGGGAAAGAATCGGAACAGCAGTGGGGGTTCCTGGGGGACTTTGTGATGGACGTTTAGACAATAGAGATGTGGATGGAGGAAAAGATTTTTGAGGGAAGGATTTGTCCTTTTCGCGGTCACGGGCCTTATGTATGAAGCTGAATGGCGAGGACTTGCGAGTGATTATTATGATTATGGGAACTGCTTGTATTACGGCATTCGTGTCGAAATCATTACCCCTTCGCTGATCTGCAGGTTGAATTTGTGGCTCTGGGAGGAGTATGGGAAGATGAAGCATTGGAGGATGGTGAGACGCTGGAAGATGCAGAAGCAGTATGAGAATGAGAATGAGAATGAGGTATATGGTGATTGAGAAAACGTTTGAGGTCATGAAGAGGGTCATGTTTAGCGGGTGAGGTTGTGCCTGGAGACTGCTGCTTGAGAGCGGATGAAGATGACTTTCAGGAAAACCGAAAACGAGACTGCGTTGCAGTGTCGGGAGACTGAAAAAATGAGTTAGTAAAGTTAAATGGAGTAGCAATTGAGCTGACATTAATATGGTTTCAAGTGGCAAGACAACCATTGCGGTTGATGTCTGGGATGGTGAGGAGAGAATTAGGATGACGCTCGCTGTTAGAATCTGGACTACTAGGTGGAGAAGGGTCATTATTAGAAATACAAAGTTGCTGCATTGGAATTGTTGAGAGCATCACGGGCTTCGACGAGGAGGAGGGCGATGATGGTGATGGTTGGAGCTGAGTGTGTAAGTAATTGAAAGGTTGGAAGACTAAAACTATAGCGGCTCGCATCAAACTAACTGACAAGACATCGCTGAGGATAGGCCAGACAGGCATTTTGACACAATATTGCGAGATATGATCACATGTAAATATATATTTGATTGACGAGATCCTCAGCCCTCTTGATATACTGCTCCATCAGTTTCAAGATCTCCTTCTTGACGTTGCTCAACTGCTGTATCTTTGGCGTCTTGGTGGCAATGGTGCCTAATGATTGAGGGTTAGCTACGTACAGGAAGGAATTTGATATAACAAGATTAGTTAACAGGAACGGGAAGGATATGACACATAGTTGAAGACGAAAAAAGTCGGTTTGGCAGAAGTAAGAAGACTGACCCGCTGCTGCTTTGCGCCTCCCAGTGAAGTGAAGAAATTGAGACCGCAAGCGACAATATTGGCTATGTTGCCTAGAGAGCCGTTAGTATTAACCAGACTTCGTAACCATCGTCCACCATACTTGTTGAACAATCAGGAGGTCACTATCAGGCGTATTCGAACGATTCGACATATACCGTCATGCTCGGTCCTCCACTGAGAATACTGGGAGGTCCAGAGACAGGGAAGCAAAGTGTATGATGGACAGCACGTGCCATACTCTGAGGTCCGCAAACTAATGTAATACCCGTAAGTTGTACATCATTGGAGGCCAGCGGAATTGGTGCTTACCGCTCACAGACATGATGCTCCCCGGTGAATGTCAGGATTCTGGCCGGTCTGGGTAGAAGTCTGGGCACCCCTCGGTACACTCGGCAAATTCAGGTGGAGCCGAAGCAGCGTGTGGCCCACGGTTATTATTATCATCCCACCCCTTTGCTGCCCGCTGCCCGCCAACTGTCAGGAATGCTGCCTCTATGATACTCGGTACGCCTGCTCTTCGTCTTCCTGGCTTGCCTTATTCACATCACGCTCCTTCCCCCTTTTTCTGGACGTGATGTCCATGGCCCATGCGTTGGTATGCAGTCCCTGGCGGCAGCGGGTGAAGTGTGATGTGACTGGTGGGAGAGGTGGGTAGGGGGCGTAGCTATTTTGACGCGGTCCTGCCGCGCCTGCCGCGGTCGTGACGCGGCCGTGATGCGGCGTGACGCGCATGTGACGCGGCACTGACGAGCCTTGACGCGGCACTAACCAGCCTTTGACGCGGCCACTGACACGCCATTCCTATATTCTATATTCCACTTCCAGATCAAGTTGGATGAGTTCACGACCATTCCTTTGTTACTTTATTTGCCTCAGAGCCATGTACAACTAGGTATACATAAGCCAATGACTATTTTCTTTTCCTTCCTCTCTGGACCCTTCGAGCCTGTGGAGCACAGGGCAGACATTCTTCGGCTGGCAGAGAAGGAACTACAGTTTCGGATAGCTCGTCTGCAGACTCCAAAGATGTAGCATCAGAGTTATCACTGAATAAGGGGCTGTGCTGTCAATCACATAGTAAGTTAGATATCTATTGAACGGAGCAGGTAATGTCTTCCTCACTTGAAGTTCACTCTCGCTATAATCTCTTACAGAAACCCATCATTGCTGGTTGCCTGCAGGTCCTGCTTCTTCGGAATCCTCGAACATCCTTGCTTCTAGTGCGGTCAGACACTCGAGGTTGACGTCAGCCACAAAGCTATTGGTAGGATAGCTTATCATGAGATCAGCCCAAGCCATCTTCAACAGCATGCTATCGTTCCATTCTTCGTTTCGAGCTTCAATGCGTTTTTTGAAATCACTGGCCTTTCGATGAGCGACTACGAGAGTGAAAGCATGCACCAAAGGCATGCCACCAAGCCATTTTTCGACTTGACCGGAGGCACCTGGAACATTCTCCGAGAACCAATGTGCAATTTTGGCATACTCGTGAGATGGAATGTCACCACAAAATGGTATGCTGTATGCACCCACACCATCTGGCTTCTTCTTCGATCGCAAGATGTAGTCTATCACAGGGTATGCCTCCGCACCATATTGGTTCAAGTCTGGACTGTCAAGGAGCTTCTGAAACGAAGCAATATGTGGTAGTAGGATGTCGTCCAGTTCTTTTGATACTTCTGCTGACATGAAGTTTTGAATCAAGTCTTCTTCGCGAGGGGTATCCCAAGAGTGGATCCATTCTCCGAGCTACACAATACTTCGTGTCAAGAGGACCGCGAGTATAACCAGTCACTGTCACTCACACAAATCTCATGCCTCTTAGCTTGGTCCTGCCAAAGTTCATCCACGAGATCCCCTTGCTCAACATCACCAGGAGGTGATCCCAAAGTTAATGGGAATCTGCAACCGCGCCACCAGACCACCTGCCAGCGTACTCGGTTGCGTGCACTAGCAGGGAGGCTAACAGTGTCATAGGACTGAATCAGCCGCACAGGATATCAATACTTCCTGAGGCGAGCCAGAGCTCCTTTGCCAGCACTATAGGTGAGTGATCAGCCATATCTCGATTCTCAGCTAGGGTTGGAAATCAAAAAACAAACATCAGACGTGTGTGAAGTGGAGTCGGTTTCTTCTTTGTTGTGGCTTTTCTGCTGCTCCTGAGTTACGGATGTCAGTTTATGTGAGAGGCACAGTTGTTTAAACTTACTTGCGGGTAGGTGGCACTTTTGACTCCTGGGTTGAGCATCCATCGCAATAAAATGCTGCCTTTGGATGAAGATTGCTGGCTCGGCCACCTCTCTGACAAGCAATGTGTGACCAATTTTCACACAGATCACATCGGATTGTCTTTTGACCACCTGCAACTTCATGGCCATTGCCAAGAGCCCCACACCTACAATCAAATGTATAGTCAGATGCTTCACTCTCTCCGTCGTCCAGCTCTAATGGTTTCTTTATCTTGGATGTGGACAGTGATTCCTCTTCGTTGCGAGATGCCTGAAGGACCAATGGATCCTCGATTGGCTCGGTACACCGGCCTGGTCAGACGGCTTTTCACCCTCGTTTATGGATGGCCGATCTTCAGTTTCCAATACCGGTGACAAGATCCGAAGTTTTTTCGTTTTTGTGCCAGAACGTTGGCGTTGGGGTGGGGCTTTGTTCTTGGAATTACTGCCTGTGTTCAGTGTTACCACCTGCTTGTATTCTATATTCTGTGTAGTTGCAGGGTTTTTGAGCCAAATAAGATTGTCTGGATCAACAGCAGCCACTGCAGTGCGAGACAAAGAAATGATAGGAATTGAACTTGGTGACTGCAGATCACATTCGACATGAACATGGTGCAAACGTTCTGCGGCTGCTATTTGATGTTCAGCAAAGAAGTTCTGCGCATCAGAGCCACCACGTAGCCTATACACAACACCATGAACATTGAAGCCTCCTGGTGCCGGGATGTCATGCAAATTGCCCACAAGATGGCTCTTGACAGTTGCATTCTTCAACAATTGTGCATATCCTCCATGAGAAAGGTCATCGTAATGGTAGACCCTCTTGCCGTCCAGTGAGTAGCGAGTAATAAAGTGTGCCAGCTTTGGTGTAGGGTCACAAAAGGCAAGGCCAACCACATCGTAAACGAGGGAACACTGTTCTTCGGCTTCTTTTGTGAGGGGCCTTATGTGCTTGGGAATGTTCCATTTGTTGTCGTGATGAAGAACATCACCGAACTCGACTATCAACATCACAGGAATTCCAAGATACAAAGTGATGAAATTGGGGGAGCCATCACATAAAACCTGTGCATCCAAAGTTCGCCAGCAATAAGTCTTAGAAGTGGCCTCCTTGTTCACGCGAATGAGATCACGAAACCAAGCAGCTAGATCGCCCTTGTATTGAGCTGAGAGTTTGACATTAAGCTGAAAATGACACTTTGGGTGCGGTTGACGTGGTATTTGCCAGTGCATTGGGCCTCCTGAAGTACCAGAGCAAAATTGTAGGTCTATGATCTGTGCCTCGAAGAAAGTGCGAGCAAGGTATGTCTCTTCAGGTGGCATCTTATGCAGCAGTAGTCGGAATGCCCTTCCTAGCCAGCCCTAGTGTAAGGTACTACTATTAGTGAAACTCTAATTTGCGAAATACAACAGCACACTTACAAATACTCCGTCTGCACTTGATATATCCTTGATGATTCGTGTGGCCCTCAGATTCTTGCGGAACCCATCACGTTGAGTCGTCAAGATACGAGATGCATTAGATGTCTGATCAATGCTCATATGAACTTTCATGACCTGATTCAGAGCCCATAAGGGATGTTCCTCACGGATTCCAAGGAAGCGTGGCTGGAAGACAGTATAAAAGTGAGGGTGTATGGTAATGAACATGAGCTCCAGGCATGTATCAAGCCAACATGAGTTTTGAGACCAGGGATAACTGGGGCGCGAGCTCAGTGGATGGTTAGTGATGTTGGAGTCGAGCGAATTGTCAGAATCTGAATCTAAGTCTTCTTTGGATGCCTGTTGCTTGTCGCGAGATTTTGAATGAGTTCTCAGAAGCTGTCACGAGGTATCAGGAGGGCGTCCATCGTTTTTTCTGGACTTGGACCGATGTGATCGTGGTGCTCTTTCTGGATGAGTACGACCATGTATTTGTAGATTGGTTTGCCAGCTCTTGGCTGCTCCATAGCGAATTGGAGCACCCACTGATGGAAACAAGGGGTGTTTAATATCAAATTAACACTGACAATATACAACATACCACTTCGGCCAGCTGCACGTAGTTGAAAACTTTCCATAAAAACCTGCAAGCAAAGCAGCCCCTCCATCAAGTTGTAGCGCTTGCCAACTGTGGCATATAGCTTTGCATGCATCGCTTCTTCTGCATTAGTAGAGTTTGGCATTGCCTGGAATAGACCCGTTTTCATCTTCTGAAACGGAGGAAACAGCATCTGGGCATGGCTGTCACGAAGCCACCACTCTAGCCATGGCTTTGTCTTGGGATAGTCTCGTAAAAGGGATGCAACCTTTTGCTTGAAAGTGTCCATATCCAAGACCAACAGCAGGGCCAGGGCACGACTCTGAAAGTTGTCCGCTTTGGCAGGGTCAATAACTCCACTGATTTTTTTGACACGTGTGACCTGAGACCGGTAATGCTGCTGACAGCCTTTGAGGAGTGCTCCTGCTGCATCTTCAAGTTCAGCCTGAGAACGTGAATCCTCACGATTGGTCCAGAACATAATGAATGCTTGAGTAAACCCAACTCGTTCGGCCTTGCTGAAGTCAACAACCTGGATCAGCAAATGTCAGAATGAACACTATGTACCAGTAACTGGAGCCTTACATTGCCAAACAATTCATCATTGACTTCACGCCCGTGCTTCTCGCATTCATCTGCCATGGAGTTGAAAAGGACAAGAAAATGTAATCGGTAGTGCTCGGCTGAACCTCCATTTGCATAGGTCATGAGTCCAGGTACTCAGCATGCAAGCAAAGCAGAGTATGTCGAACTAATTATAAGAAGATCCTTAGATGAGTACCAAAATCCATGTGCTGCATCCAAAACAATGCCATTCACAGCCTCGTCCTCGATGAAGTCGGTCACCAGTTGTGACACCATGAATTGAGTTTGAACAACAACGACAGTCACTGCTTCGAATTGAGAATACAAAACATATCCTGGATGGTTCTTCTGGAATTCTGCGAAGTCATCAACGAAGTTCCGAGTGGACTTGCCCCGTAGTGCTTGCAGCTCGGCCTTGACACGGTCCTGGTTGAGAAGCACTGTGGAGATCGTTGCAACAGATTCACGGGTACCAGTAAGGCTGTTACGACCAGCAATTAATGCCGCAGGGCCAGCAGCAGGATTTTCGAAGACAATTTGTTCGAATCTTGTCCGCTCGTCACGAGATAGATGCAAGATGTGAGTTTGTTTTGGATGGTGGTGAATGCCCTTGTGAATGTAGTAGACGCCTCCTTTGAATGAATACAACACTGATGTGACACCGCAGTCGATGTGCTTGAGCTGACTACCACAAAGGCACGATGCATTGAGTTGTCCCATGATACCAGCCCGGCGGGTCTGCGGACGTGTGACTACCTCACAGGTAGGTTCATCACAAGTAATGACACCCAGGCAAACACATCTTGTCTTTTTGCCTTGCGACCACGCGAGTGCCGACTCTGACCCCCTCTTGTCTCCTCCTCCTGGCTGACAAGCCCAATGTTCACTAAGATTATCAGTTCTCAATACCTCCTCCCATGTGAATAACCTTTCAAAGTCACCGTCCGGCCATGGGTCCCATAACTCATCTCCACCGCCAGATTTGGGATGTAGTGAATTGGATGATTGATCCAGACCATGGCGTTGATTTGTTCGGGCTGCAGAAGGACTAACACTTCGGGTACGCCGGCGTGGTATAGACTTTGTGTCTGTGCAGAGTTCAAATAACTCCTGTGAGTGATGTTTCATGTGTTGAGGGAGGGGTGGTGGATTTGGGACGGAGTGTGCAGGGTCATGTGATGGCTGAGCGGTCTGCACGGAGGCCGGAAGATAAGCTATTACATTGCCTGTTCTATTTGTCAAATCTGAGTTCACAAGGAGAATATGTCGGATGACGCACCTGAACGGTCATAGCAGGGTATGAGGTCCCCAAAACTCAGCAGCGGACCCGGCCGATCTGGATAATTTTGATTCTCTGTCTCGTTGGGATAGAAAAAGTTGAATATATGTTTGATTAATTCCTAAAAGATGGTTATAACAAGTTTACTCCGTATTTCAAAGCACTCACAAAGGCCATGATACGATTTACAGAAGCGCGATAATAAAGGTTTCTTCTCGAGCCCAGAGGAGACAAAACGAAAGAATGCTTAGTAAAACAAATTTATTACTGCCTATGGACAATTACAGTGTACGACGTCTAATTCTGTCAGGATGAAAAGGAACACTGTTAGAATATCAATTATTATGACAGATCTAAAATAAAATATACCTAAGTTATACGGACAGTGTGACAGTTGAGGTGGTGAGGTTTGATGCGGCATGTGGAGGTGGTGAGGTCTGACGCGGCATGAATGAAGTTTGACGCGGCAGTGACGCGGCGTGACGCGCGGGTGACGCGGCAGTGACGAAGTTTGACGCGGCGTGACGTGCCTGTGACGCGGCAGTGACGCGGCATGGAGGAGGTTTGACGCGGCACAACTTGTTTGACGCGGCACTGACGCGCATGTGACGCGGCAACTGACGCGGTATGTGCTATGGTTGACGCGGCACTGTAGTAGGCCTTGACACGGCATAGAGTGTGGATGTTGATATTAGTACAGAGACTTGCGAAAATATTTGGGAGAACTTGTCGTGGTGTGAGTAGTGCTTGACGTAGCCTAAACGAGGCTTCTGATATGCCATGGTTGGGGCTTGACGTGGTGGTGCAGGGTATAGAGAGAGGATCAAACTTGGCAGGGTGAGGTCGAGGCTTGACGCAGTGAGACAACATTTGACACTGCGTCTGAAAACCAACATAGATGAACGAATTAGAGGTACACAGCCAGACACCCAGGTTCACCAACGGTTGGCCCAGAAATCCTATAGTTAGGATGGTATTAGACGTGATTGAGTGCGAAAAGGATCTGCTGGTTTCTGTACAATTGAATAGGAAGTGCGACACCGAGCACGATAGCGAAACTCAATTTATCCTGGTGTTGTCCCACGGACGATGTGGTTTTGAACCTGAGGACAGTTTTGACTTTAGCCGTCGGCAGCGATATTACTTTTATCCGGTGGATGTGGGTGATCGAAACCTGATTACAGGCTGTTCCAGAAAACAAGAGCTAATGAGCTACTGCACTGATAAGTTCAATCAGACAAGCCCATGCACCTACCTTAGTAAACCCTTGCCCGTGAAGAACAGCTCAATAGTAGCGTCGAGTAGCCTTTACCTTCTTGCTGAGATCAGCACAGTCCAATCACCACATAGTGTTGATCCTCGTGCCAGGATTAACACAGTACGAGTCACTGTGTAGCGTTGATCCTCGTGCTGAGAGTAGCACAGTGCAAGTCACTATGTAGTATTGGCCTTCGTGCTCATGTTTACGCGGTACTGGTTATTAGCTTCTGACAGCACATCCACAGTTATCGTAAAAACCTGAATATCATTATTTGTTGACTTGGAACATTTCCATCACCGCTGAACCAGATGAGAACAAAAACATAGGCCAGCTTCGGAATGCATACATGATTGATATTAAAGGCCGTGTACTGTACAGCTGCTAGTCTAAACAACAAGCCTCAAAATGTCGTCCATACTTCCTAAGGCATTCTGGCTCGAATTAGCGGCAGCGGGAGAATTTGTGCGTGATCTGTAAGCCTCTGGAACCGCTACATCAACCATGAATGGATTTTGAACAACCTGCCGCTGATAACGCTGCACATCTAACTCGATGGTATATGCAATGTACCTAAGTATAGGTCAGTTCAAAAATCAACCAGATGAGAACAAAAACGTACGCAGACCAGCCTGGCGACCCCCACGAATCTCCCCACTGTTTCTGTCTGGCTTCAAACCACATCTCGACCTTGGACCAGAAGTCTTCGCCTTTAGCGGTGCGCCCAGCATGACCGCGTTTTCGCTTCTTCCTGGTTGGTTCGCTGATGGAAGAATCTGCGCCACTGATACCACCACTGTCTTCTACTGTAGGTGCCATGCTGGAAGTCTCATCTTCATCCTCTGCACGATCAAGCAGATCAGGATTTTCATATGCAAAGCGACGCTGTAATTTACAACACAGTGAGACAGACTGGCAGTATTAGTAGAGTGAAGGAACAACATACTAGAATGGCCAACCGGCGCGTGCTGCATGTCCAAGGTCTGAATTTCCACCTGCGCGACGAAAACGACTGGAGCTATCATATACAAAGTCTGAGAGTGTACTGGTGTCATCACCGATGACACTGTCACGAATCTGAATGGAGGTATGTTAGTTGAGGACCCAATAAATATTATCAGTGTTGTACACACCAGCTCGCGAAAGGAATTCCGAACACTCGAACACTGGTGTTTAACAAAACCCATCAAGTATCGCTCTCTAGCTGGGTTGCCATATATATTCGTGAGTTTGAAGGCTTCGCGATCTTCGTGCAAACATTTCTAGAGTATCAAACAATAAGCATACAGTACTATATGCCAATCTGGGACTTACTGCCACGTCAAAATGAAGCGACATAAATGTGATCCTGGTGGCATCAAAGATAAGATCACTCGCAACGATTCGTATGTTCATCTAGTATATACATCAGATTTGTGAATAAAGATGGCGCAGGAAAATTGCTCACTCGTTGCTCAGGACTGAGTGAAAAGGTAGCTTCAAGACGAATTTGCAGGTCAGCGAGAAGGTGTTGCGTAGAAACATGTGATGCAGCTATTAAGCGTTGTTCTTTGAGAAGGCAGAAAACGCTGCCAAGGAGATATGTTCGTGTTGCAAGATCAGGTTTGCTGAGTCCACATCCGAGCTGCAATGCAATGCTTTCATCCAAATACTACATATAAGAAAAATTGAATGGTCAACATACCTTGGCAAAACCATGTAGGTTTGCCCGCAAGTCTTGTTCCATGTCACCAAAGCCGAACTGGTTTGCAAGGGCATCCACAAAGAGGGCAGACAATTCATCCACACGTAACTGGGGGTCAATTTGTGGTTGATGTAAACCAGAATCTGGAGATCTAGTACGCCGGGAGCTTGGACTTGAAGCCTGGGAACCCACAGGTGGAAGGGAGAAATTAAAGGCTGTGAGTGACCGTGGCTGGGAACCAGTAGGCGGAATGGAGAAGTCAAAAGACATTCTTGGAAGTATAGTGCATGAAAATGAATGACCGGCTTGAGAATAAGTCACTGGAGACTGCTCGATCAAACAAGTTCAAGAGGTCCTTTTATACAAACTTGCCTTATGGCAGTGGATTGAAGGTTTCATACAGGTTGGGATCGACGAATCGAGGTTTTGGTGCACAGATAATTTCCGTTTCATCATTGTAATAAGGCTATGTTCAGAATTGACATGACTTTTACGAAGTCAGTGTGATTGGTGAGAATCAACTAAGGAGACACGTCAATAAGAACATGGTTCATACACGTGACTTGGATGCTGGCGTGATAATATTATATGTTAAAGAATCTGCTCCTCAGTATCAGGCTATTCTAACGATAGTAGATGATATGAGGGAATAAGTATGTTATATAATGTGCTTCTGAGTATTGGGTTGTCATCCTTGTAATACAGACTGTACCTGACTATGCTGTTGTAATGATGTATTAACTTGGCGACCTCGTCCACCTCGTCCACGCACTGAGGTAGATGTCAAGGGTGCTCCACTTGTGGTGTCATTAGTACGTGTCCGAATTTCCCTCGCAGCACCTTCAAGAATTGCAAGATTCATATCTGGTTGCCTAATTGGTATCCGAAGACCCTGCATGTGCTTTGCATTATGCATTTGCGCAGTGTTGAGTATGAGATCACCAGGATCCCCACTATGATGTATCGCAAGCTTTGTTTTTGAAGTCTTGACACGTTCTTCATAAATGAAATCAGTGCCTGATGCTGCACATTTGTGCAGTTGACATTGATGTTGCAGATTTGCTGTACATAAAATTTGCTTTTCAGAGATTCAGTGACGACACAGGTTTATGTATTAGATAAATTACAAACCTCAATAGGATAAAGTAAAAATCCCCCATGTGGCCTTACAGCAGGCATCGAGTAGGATGCAACTGATTCACCAATAATGCCACATTCGAGAAGTATTGCATCTGGATGTAGACACATATCTGCTTCAGAATCTTTGCGCTGAATCAGTTCTCGGACACATGCTACTATGGGAGACTGTTCTGCAGTGTGATTGACTGCAAGGACCCAGTCTCCAATTTTACAAATATCTCCATTAAAAAGAACAACAGACTTGCACGTTCGGAAATTATTTCCTTCCAGAATATTACGTGGAAGTGATGCAAGTGCATCAGGGAAATGTTGTCCTGTCTCGGTAGCCATGTATGTTCGGAGTGGTAGGCTATCACGAATGCACTGGCCTACAGACACTAATACTTAGCATGTGATCACATCAACCAGAGTTTCGTCAAACCTCACCATATTTTGTAGTGTCCTGTAGAGTGTCAAGTCCAAGATAATCTGTGATAATATTTGGTCGTCGAATGAGAGTCAATGGGCCCTTTCCAACGACAACATTGACTTCTGACTTGGGTAGTCCATGTATGTCTGACGAAGAATTGGAGACTTCGAACTGGACAGGGCTGTTAGACTCAGAGTTGTGGGCTTTGGTATTGGGATCACGGATAAGTATTCGTGCTCCAGAGAGGATATGGCGGATACGACTTCCATGAGCAAAAGAATGTGCAATATCCCGAGAAGGAGCACAATGGTTCGAATGAATGCTCTTTGCTCGGATGACTGCATTAAATGATTCAAAAGACTCTGTTGCAAATAAAGCAGCTGGCCCAAATCGTCAAATATGATCAACAACATGTAATATTATGTGAAACTTGGATTTGTTGAACCATCGAGGGGTCCACATGGCAGTACATGCGAGAAAGTTGTCAATGGCGACTGTGAGTTTGTTCTATTGAACACAACTTAGTTCAAGTATTACTGCTATGACGAGGCTGAAACTACAATACCTACCAGATGATCTGTGCAATCATCGATTTCAGGCTGCCAAATGAGTGGCATCAGATTTGACAGTGCGACCCAGGTATCGTAACAATCCTTTGGTACCAAGTCGTGGAGGACGAAGGGTGCAATCTGTGCAATGGCACGAAAATCACGACCAACAAGAGATCCTGCATACTGAACTAGCGTGTGGCCATTGAGATTGCTAAGTCCAAGACCTGCAACATTAACAGAGGAGAGGCGAGTCTCCAAAAGCTCACGCTTCAACTTGTTTTGTCCAATCCGTATTGAGATGGCATCACGCCAAAAATATTTGACAAATCCCAGAAGGACAGTATGGAGAATCTCCACGGGCGTGTCCGTGTGAGGATCAAGACCTGCAATATCAACAAAGTCAATCCTAACTCAATATCAATCAAAACTTGTTAAAAGACCTTTGACTCGCCACACTGGACTGATGACATTTGCGGGCAACGTCTCTTTTACCCTGTTGAGTGCTTCCTGCTTCACACTATTGCCTCCACGAATTTTGCTGTATGACTGAGCGAGGCAATTCAAAAACGATTCGAGGAAAGTGTCTTTAATGCCAGTGGCGGTCTTCCTTTGCTTGATCCTGGTCTGGTTCCCAACCGTTGATGCATCAACAAACATTGACTTAAGTTCAGCTACAGTTTCGTCCTTGCAGCGTGCTTCTCCTATCTGCCATAATCAATCATTAGATTCCACGAGTCCGTCGCTCACTTATATTGAATATTACCTTGACGAACTGCTTGACCCGAGTTACCAACTCTTCCATAGTTTCTTTTGTGCGTTTCCGTGCAGACTTTAGAGGAGCATCATTACGAGTCTCGTACTCACTTCCACTAAACTCCTCGGCTATGTTGTTATCGTGATCTTCGGCTCGTGTGGTATCTTGCGCAGAATTACTCTCCTTCGCCACTGTACCATGACCCTTAACTTTGCAAATCCGGCAGAAATACTTTCCCATTGAACCGATGTGACAGGCCATCTCACTTTGCATGGGGTTGTCTCTGAGCAACGCCAATACTGACAGAATGACAAGAACATATTCTTCGTGGACACAGTCCCAGGCCCAGATGCCATGCTCCCATGCGTTTCTGAATTGTCTGAATTAACACTTCTGCTCTCCTGCTCATGATAAATCTCACTTACTCCAGTTGGTCGACAATGCCGTCCAACATCTCGAGCGGAGGGGCAAGATTCGAAGTACAAAGAAAATGAACATTGTACTCTTGATGGACTGCTGTTCGTGGTAATCCTGCAGGCGTAAAAAGAAAGGAATTATGCTTGTTCCACTTTTTCGATAAGTTGCCTGATGTGTCGTCACAGTATAACCAGATAGGCATTGCATATACACGAGCACCAGAAGCCCGAATACGCCATTGATTGCCTTCGACAGGATTAGTCAATGTCCATGGCTGTAGTTCGCCATCCAGTTCACGTTCAATGCCTAAGCAGACATCAATGACGTGCAACAGCAGAGGAAGAACACACTTTACCATATATATGGCATGCACGAGGTAGTCCAGATGTTGCACCACTTGAATCCCAGTTTTTGAATGATACAAGGAGATCGTCTTCTGATACCTCGAATGATTGAAATTGTTGTACGATCCACCCGCAATTCATTTCACGAGCAACTGGCTGCAACCGCCAAGCCCTAGCATACATTTTCTTGCAACGAATGAACCAGCGAAACGGCATGCAGGCTTGGCCGCTGGTTAATAATGCAGGCTCGAAAATGAAGAAATCTTGATTTTGCAGTCGAACAACAGGTGTAAGTAGCTCCGGATCAAGTTCCTCGAGCCAGTGTTTGGCTTGCCAAGCTTCATTTAGTTTCGTACCAGCATCTTCAGGGTAAAAGTGCAGCAGCGGGCGAACTCAAGGATTCATCATTTCCTTCAAAGAGTACTGAGAGTGTGATCGTTTTCATTTCTGCAGTATGACATACCTGCTGAATAAGATCAGCCAATGAGTTAACATAGTACCTATGCCCAAGAGCGCCATCATAAGGAATCGAGCGTATACCACACAATCTTTGAATTGTGTCTTCAATGCATTTGACAGACTTTACAGAAGGCACGTCATCTACATTATTGACCCGAAGTAGCCACAGCAAGATATCAATTTGTCGCTCTGAAAAAACTGAACGTGGGAGGTGCATGAGAATATCAAGTGTACATGTCTAAAAACCTGCCGGATCAAAAAAAAGTAGCAGGCAGATCAATACAGACGACTTACAATTTTATCTGGCCACGGGAACCATTCCTCATTCACAACATGTTGTCGAGAACGCTTTCGATCCCTGCCAGTTCCAGCTCGGATGTCAGGATCATCAGGATCATCTTCTGCTCAAAATTCAAACAGTGAGTGGCACAGTACAATGTGTATTTAGAGTAGCATACCATCATGCTGCATCCGTCCCATAGAAATCCCTTCATCATCTGACATCTCGACTGCGTGATCATCCGACAGGTCATTTTCATCTAAAAAGTCACTCAACCCTTGAGCAATCATTGCCTTTGTAATCGCAGGCGCAGATTGTCCGAAACGGTCACTATGATCTCCACCATCAATCTCACCAGCCATTGTGGCAAAATAGTCGTAGACATTGTTTGTTGAGTCGCCCAGCTCGAAATCAGGAGTAGCCATGTCATCGAGAAGAAGATGAAGTCCTGCGACAGACTTATCCTTCATAGATTGAGCCTCGGCTTGTGCTGAACTGTCCCCTGCACGATTCTGCCGTTTCGTTGAGTGATATTTAATTGAATCTTGATGTGTTCTCATCGTCTGATGTACCTTAGCGGCCCGCTGAGTATGAGGCTTATTGTCCTGGCAAAGGTTGCAGACCCATTTGTCTCCAACGACAGGCGTCCAAACTAAAATTCATTATGATCTTGGGTGTCAATAATCAGAAACTCGTCGAGATCACTCCATACCATTAGGGTCGGGAAATTCTCCATCCAAGTCAGGCATAGTGAGTTGAGAACGGACCTGTGGATCAAATGATTATTACACTGACAGACAATAGAGCAACGACACGAGGATAATTGTAGGAAGCCATTGATAGATAGTACCTACAGGACAGCACTGCGGAGTAACACCGTTTGCAGGATAGATGAGTTTCGGCCGTAGTGAATTGACTGAATGGGCTTGTTGAACGAGTAGTTATCGTGCTGACAACAAACAGACGAAAGCCTAGTGATGACTAGAAGAAGTCCTACGCGCACTGCGCCTATAGGGCGGAGTCGCAGAATGGCGTTGTTCCTAAGATAGATTGCTCTTAGCGGATGGTCAAATTCGTTACGCATCCCAGGTTGGACTTCGAATGAACCTGAGGCCATCCGCTCGGCAACTCCCGGACAATTGAGCATCAAGACTTCGTCTTTTTTTATATTCCACCGAAGGAGCGTATTCCTTCTCAGTGCTCGATCCTTATTCAAAACGGTACGAGAAACGTAGTTTATTTACATTGAGTGCAAAAACGATCAGGTTGACCTCAGGCTTAACTAACTTCTTGGGGTGTAATGCAACAATATAGGACTGACGCGCAAGATGCATACTAGTAGTATGAACGCAGAGGACAAGCACTGTAAATTTGGTGAGAGGTGAATACAGCACTATAGAGGCTGTACGCAGGCAGACACTCATATGTTGATCATTAACGATGATTCAAAGTGTTTGGAATGCGATATGAAGTTGTGTAAACATGATCTGTACGTAGGAATTTGTTACAGTGCCGCGTCAATTTCACCTGGCCCGCGGGTAGGTGATGAGTCAGCCATGCTCGTAGGAGTGCCGGCGTCTTCAAACTCCGTCAGAGCATCGCCACCTGTACCAAGACTTGTACCCAGACATAGACTTACACCAAGACCGGCCATTTCAGGAACGTCCTCGCTCCCCGAGGCCACGCTAACCTCTTCTTTGAACATTGCATCCAGGTCCGATCGTCCATTTTCCATCTTGACCCCGCGCAACGATAATAACATTGGCGACGTCAAAGAACCCTTCTTCATCACAATCTGTTCGGGAGTACCGTTCTCTGTTGGATTCGAAAGGCCGGAAACCTCTTCCATAGACTGTGTCGCTGATGAAGAACCAGTGTTAAAGATACGGGTGGATAGCGTCAAAGAAGGCGGGGCAAGCTGAACGGCCTTGATGAGTGCTGCTTCGAAGACACTCGTGGCTTGGCCCGCTGTTGAGTATCTGAGTGGGGAGTAACGGACCGAGATCTATGAAATTGTGGGTTTTCCGACACGATATACCAATAATCTATTTAGTTATTTGACGGCGTCAAGCAACGAAGATATCAATACAACAAAAATTACTTCATTCTGTAGCAACACTCCTTGTATCAAGATTGAGACACCGGGGGAAGCTAATGACGGTAATGTGACCACGAAAGTGCACTTCATAAACCCTGTCATCGGGAAAAATAAAATATAGGTGATTAGCTGAGGGAAACAGCTGTGATTCGCGTTTCAGAGGGACCAGCCTGTCCCCACTGACCCGCTCAAGTACTTCTAGGTCCTTTATATTGCCGATACGAGTTCCGTTAGAAAGGAGGAACTCCAGCAGATGTACATGGTGGTCTCTCAACTCCATTATTCTTCCAGTGATACCAGAGGAAACACTAAACTTTTTGGTGGTATCATTGTCTGGTAAGGGATACTGTGGATCTTTAGCATTTAGTAATATGTAGAATTCAAAAATACTTACCGACAAGTCTGTATGTGGTTGGGTGGCCCAACTGTCGTCTACGCCCCAATGCTTGGGATAAATGCTAAATGTTTGACTGACTAATATTAGTCATAATATTCCCTAGCTCTCCGAGGAGACCTATTGAGTGCGAGTCATGTACTGAAAAATCCTTGAATTTAGAGGTAAAGGAGTGGCTGATAATTTTTGTTTGAGGAAGGAATGAAATCAGTGACCTTAAGCTTGGACGTGGAGCGAGCCAAATATTTGGTGTTTGAGAAAAGTTGGGTGAATGGCGCACCAGTTTTGGAACGCCGCGGCTCTCTGTTTGACGAACCGTGTTGAGAACGTTCGGGAAATGGCGACTATAGGCCCTTACGTAGACTCTGGGCCCCTTCGGCAGGGCTTCAGGCGGAGTTTAAACGTTGTGCTCAATCGTTCCAGTCTCATTAAAACTTTCTCGCAGCCAAGGCAGCTTATGAAACGTCTATTCGGGGTCAAAGTATGCTCTTATACTTCTCATCGTGTCTCTTCTGAAATCTCTTGCAGGACGTGGAAGAAATTGTTGAGGATGGAGCTCCGTCTGGAAAGAAAGACTACTTAGTTTCGGACACTTTCAGTGTTAAAGATATGGATCCTAGGGTTGCAAAACTTGGACCATCCGGCCCAACGTGTGAGGCCATCAACCTCATGATATTTCTGATGATGCGCGGTGTTCGAGTCATTTTATTCTGCAAGGTCCGTGCCACAATCCAGACTTAATTGGGCTTCAGTGACCTAACTTAAAAGAATTCAGATTCGAAGAGCTTGCGAACTGGTGAGCCAGAGTGACACTTAACTTTGAGTTGACCCGGGATTGATGTCCGAAGGCGATGAAAGCTCTGCGCCAACGACTTAGCGCCGAGGGGCGCCTAGACATTCTTGCAAAGATCATGCCTTACAGAGGAGGTCAGTGTTTGTTGGGGGCATCTTATTAACCTGCAACTCATCACATGTAAATATATATTTGAATGTCAAGATCCTCAGCCTTCTTGATATACCGCTCCATCAGTTTCAAGATCTCCTTCTTAACGGTGCGCAACCGCCGTATCTTTGGCGTCTTAGTGGCAATGGTCCCTAATGATTGGGGGTTAGCTACGTACAGGAAGGAGTTGGGAAGGCTGAATCACGAACCTTCCCGAGCTACCGTCTCGCTGATGATGCCGCTGACTGCCTTGTACAGACCCAACATGACCCGCCCCACCTGAGGCAGGTAGAAGCTGCCAATAGATGCACAGGCAGACACGTTTGTCTTGAGGACATTAGATAAAATTTTGATATTATCAAGGTTGCTTAGGACATCCATATTCTGCGCCGCTTGAGCCGTCAATGAATCCCACTTGATAAAATTGTGAGCAAGGGACTTCTTTTGCTGATGAAAAAGGTACACACAGCGTTATTCGGTAGTCCATCAGATAATCTAGCCACGAGACCAGCCTCGATGGCAGTAAGCCAAACCAAGGCAGCTGAGCCCTGGATAAGCGAGGACCCGGATGTAGTTGACTGGAAGGGAAGAGTTAAGAGACGAAGAACATCCGTGGGCCTGTGATATAACAAGATTAGTTGACAGGAACGTGAAGGATGTGACGCATAGTTGAAGACGAAAAAAGTCGGTTTGGCAGAAGTAAGAAGACTGACCCGCTGCTGCTTTGCGCCTCCCAGTGAAGTGAATCAAAGCGCTGACAACGAAGAGATTGAGACCGCACGCGACGATATTGGCTATGTTGCCTAGAGAGCCGTTAGTATTTACTTTTGGTGTCCTCACTCTGAATTGATACCCACCCAGGCGGAGGCGGCGAATTGAGATAGACCGGTCAAGACCCTTGCATCATTTGTTTGTAACTAATGAGCGAATGAGGTTAGAAAATGGGCAAGGAATATGGATTTACGCAGACCTGGCGACAAAAGAGATTGGACCAGGTGTATGACGGGACCTGGGAGCAAAGTGTTTGGAAATCACCAAACTGAATCGTGTAGGACGTCCAAAGCTCTAGAGTCGTCAAGCAACCAAGCAAGCAATTGAACGCTGCATGTAAGAAGATATGAAGACACCGCAAATAAACTCAGAGACAGGAGCCGTTAGACTCCTCAGACAACGTTACTGTTTGTCTATGTTGTCAAATTGCGAACTGGTGTTCTCAAGTTTCCTTTTATGTAAACACCCCTTGCTCCGTTCTAAGTATACTTGGTATAGTCGCACCAGAACCGGGGAAAACGAAAACGAGACTGCGTTGCGGTGTCGGGAGACTGAAAAAAATGAGTTAGTAAAGTTACATAAATGGAGTAGCAATTGAGCTGACATTAATGGGATTCCAAGTGGCAAGACAACCATTGCGGTCGATGTCTGGGACGGTGAGGAGAGAATTAGGATGACGCTCGCTGTTAGAATCTGGACTACTGGGTGGAGAAAGGTCATTACTAGAAATACAAAGTTGCTGCATTGAAATTGCAGAGAGCATCACAGGCTTCGACGACGAGGAGGGCGATGATGGTGATTTGGAGCTGAGTGTGTAAGCAATTGAAAGGTTGGATGACTAAAACTATAGCGGCTCGCCGCTCGCATCAAACTAACTGACAAGACATCGCCGAGGATAGGCCAGACAGGCATCTCCAACAATCAACCTACGGCGAACGCCGGCTTGAACACTCCGAACCGGTTTCATACGCAAAATGAACCAGGTGGATCAGGAGGTCACTATCAGGCGTATTCGAACGATTCGACATATACCGTCACGCTCGGTCCTCCACTGAGAATACTGGGAGGTCCAGAGACAGGGAAGCAAAGTGTATAATGGACAGCACGTGCCATACTCTGAGGTCCGCAAACTAATGTAATACCCTATTTTGGGTGTTGAACCGGGGAATGCATGTTATGACTTTATGCATCGGGGAGAGAGGAAGACAGGCAGTTTATAACCTTCACTTGGGTTAGAAGGCAAGGTACTCGTCAAAATGTTGGATGAAATCATACACGATTTAGGAAACACGAAGGCGAAGATGTAGACTGTAAGTCGATCTTGTTCATGGCTGCTCTGTAAAAATATAACGTTGAAACGAAACATGAGCACGCGTTGAGAGATTTGAGCATTGTGATTCTCATGTCATTGAATTTCGTGCCAACATCCAATATTTGACATTCCAAATTCTGTAAATACATAGGCAGTGTGAAAGAAAAACATCGATGCGAGATAACAAGGGGAACCCGATCGATATCAAAGTATTCAATCCTAGATCAATATTCAATATTTTAACACTGAAAATACACGAGCGACATGAGCAATGCAAGATAACAAGACAGCAAGGCATTGGGTACATAAAATCGACAGTTTCAGGCCCGGGACTAAGATGACCCTGTAGCTTCGATGAGGCATTCCTTTGTGCGTAGGTCAGGTGCCGAATACATACACCATGGTCAACACCGAGCAATTATATGCGGTGAGACTCGCTGAATAAACGAGGTCGTTGCGCTAACATTCTCAAAGGTGCCTAAAGCGACTCAACAAGCGATACAAGGCAAGCGCGCGAGGATCGTCAAAAAACGATTACCAGCAGCAATGAAGGTGGAGAGAGCAAGTCAACGGACTCAACTGCAGATGGAGGTAACAAAGAATGCGCGCAGGAGGCAGCCATAACGACCAACACGTTCTATGAGCCTACCGTACTCCCAGATTACGGAGGAGAGCTGTTTCAGCATGCCAATGCCAAACTCTGTCAGCTGGATATCAGGAATGTGGAGAACATATTGATCCCACCTCAAGAATGGTACTCCAGCCTCAGGCGCGGCACTCTCGTCACGATCAGGGCGACTCTACATGCTTTCAATTGGAAAGAACACCGGGTAAGCACGATCCATTCGAAAACCGTTCGAATTGTAAGCGTCACAATGATATAGATTTACCAATTAAACGCACATACTATTCGTGCTATCGTGTTGGGCAGAAGCCCAGGGCGGATGTTTTAAAACGAAGGCAAGTTTTTCAAAAAGAATGGAAGTTTGACATCTAAGGAACCACAAGTCGCAAAGGCCATCATCTGCAGGCGGGACGTTCAAGTAGCACACAAAGACATCAAGAAATGAGGAAAAAGACAAGGAGGGAAGAACCGAAGGAAAAGTGAGAGTCGTATCACCACAAACCGATTCCCACGAATAGCAACTTATGTAAGATTTAAAAAAAAACTGGTTCCGCAAGGTATCCAGATGCCAGTGGGCAACGTCGACCACTAGTGTGAGAAAAAAAAGGAAAGGTAGCGGGCTTTGCCACTTTAGCTGGCACTACCTGCTAATATATAGTAGACTTTATAGTGAAACCTAAGAGCTAGTACGGTAACCAAAGTTTGACTGAAGTTGACAAATTTGGAATACTACGTCGGTACAAGCCGATGTCGGGGTTTTAACATGCATAACCGTGACACTACTGATTAAGATTGTTAGTAACCATGTCTCGCAACATGGAACCACTACCCTTTGATCCTCTGTTCAATAGACCATTACTTTCCGAGCTGTTACTTGATCGACTCATTCCACCGCCGGACCAGGCAAGATCTGCAGGATCGGTGACCCAAGAACGACTCATTCGATATGTGCTACTCATGATCAGTATCATCGTTGCTGCAACTGAATCATTCCTGGAAACCGCATTGCCAAAAGAGCCTGAACCATATCACACGTCGGCACTCAAGGGTGAAGAATGGCTGATGGAATTGATCGTTGGTCACCCTCAGCGCATCCGCTGTGAACTTGGCGTGCATGCACACGTCTTTGAAAAGCTGATCATGGAACTTCGTGGTCTTGGTCATGGCAGATCTCGCTATGTCTTGCTGGAAGAACAATTAGCTATCTTTCTGTACACTTGTGTCACTGGTTTGACAATCAGACACGTTGGAGAGCGGTTCCAGAGGTCTAGTGATACAATTTCGAAGTGAGTCTTCAATCTACTATCAGTAACATTAGCTTGATCATTTGTATCAGGTATTTTCGCAAGATGTTGTTCATATTTGCATCCCCCCCATTCTATTCTGCGCATGTACACTTTCCCGATGGCAGCACCGTCCCCAACAAGATTCGCCATGACCCGAAATTCTGGCCCTACTTCAAAGGCGCTATTGGTGCCATAGATGGCAGTCATATTCACGCATCTCCTCCATCATGTGATCGCACGTTCTACCGCAACCGCAAGGGGTTCGTGTCTCAAAATTGTCTGTTCGCCTGCAACTGGGACCTGAAGTTTATCTATACTGAGACTGGCTGGGAGGGTTCAGTGACGGATGCACGCCTATGGGAGGAAGCTCATTCAAATGGCTTAGACATCCCCCATGAAAAATATCTCCTTGGTGATGCTGGTTTTCCGTCCTGCAAGGAGCTCCTTGTCCATTACCGCGGTGTTCGATATCATCTTGCAGAATGGGGCCGTGCGAGCATTAGGTACATTTTTTTTTCTTTGCAATGTTTTCAATTCTAATTTCTCAATAGACCTGCCAATAAACAGGAATTATATAACCTGCGTCATGCCTCCGCACGAAACATTATCGAAAGGATCTTCGGTGTCTTGAAACGGCGCTTTCGCATCCTTCTCTTATCGCCCGAGTACAAGATAGATGTTCAGGCGCGCATTCCTGCTGCACTATGTGCAATCCACAACTTCATCCGCACTCACGATGGCCAAGAAGGCCTTCTCCCAGAGAGACGCGACATTTTCGACAACGACAACCCAGAATATCAAGGGCAGCCCGCTGACGTGGCAGCGCAGCCCGAGGTCATCAACAATGCGAATATACTACGAGACCGTATCGCACAAAAAATGTGGGATGATTACCAGTTGATTTTGGCTGAACGAGGTGCCTTAGATGACTTTTCCATAGTAGACATTGATGATGATTACATTAACGACAACGACGACAATGAATTGTAGTGTACATGGTAGATGTATCAAATGAGAATGCATTGTATGTGATATAATGGACTTGAACTAAGTGGCGGCATACTGCTGGATGATGGAGACAACAAAAGCGCGTCGCAACGTTGGGTCTGTGGCATCGATGTAAGAGCTAGTCACTGCAGCGTTCCTCAGAAAGACATTCATAAGTGAGACTCTATCTTCCAGCGACAGGTCATCATCCTGTTCCATCAACATACGGATGGCCTGCCCTCGTTGCTCAGTTGAACGGCTCTCGTCAGTAACAGCCACCTGTTTTACCAATGAATCAGTGAGGCGGTTGAGGGCGCCTTGCATGCCTATCATTGCGACGGCATTGGTGGGCTTGATGCCTCTCCCTCCGCTCTCGTTAACCTCTGAATGATAATTGATGTGTGCGACACTGTGGCTGGAGATCTTGGGTTTCTTGGAGCTTGACTCTCGCTGCGATATTGAGGTGAATGTCGAGGAAGGAGCTATGATAGACTGTGAATGCATGCCGGTAATATCTGAGTGTGCGCGTTTGCCGATGCTTGATGTCCGAGTGGAAGGAGGAATGGGAGCGAGGTCTGAACTTCCAGAAGTAGGCCTGCGGCCATCATGTAGCACATGCCTCCAATCAAGCTCTTGTTCAATGTGGGCATCGCCATGTGGGTATCCTCCAACGATCCAGTGCCGATATTGGGTACCATGGGTGCTGCAGAATCGCGGTCAGATGAGCCATCTGTGGTGGCAGGTGCTGTGGCCCTAGATGGGCGATAGGCAGCACGGCCTCGAGCGCCACTGCCACTTGGCAGGATGTCTTGCATTAGTACGTGCGAATGCCATCCAATGTTTCGAAAAGGCCGCATGACCTGGTTTGCCTACACACGAGCATCAGCAACAATTATAGACGACGATGTGGACTGACCTTTTTCTCCATATATGCATCCCACACATCACTCGCAGCCTTCCCCTCAATGCCAGCTCCAATCTGATGGTCCCAATGAGTGCCTGATGTCTTGAGGCGATAGTTCTCGATAACATGGTAAAGATTTTTTAACTAGAGATCTTGATATCAGTAGCCATTAAATAAATATATCAATAACATACCGATTGCCATTTGTTCTTACAGTGGCTCGCAATCTTTGTTGGACCAAGAGTCCTGTGTGGCGCAATGGCAGTCGCAGCCTCAGTGTAAACCTGCGATCTAAAATTCCCGCCATCTCCTATTTTTGATCGTTGCGAATGCAAGTATGTGATGAGGGCATCTGTCTCTGCTTCGTTCCAGACTGCCTTCGCAGCCTTCTTGGGCCTTGGCTCTTGTTCTTGAGACATGAGAAGTAATTGGTGGTGGGCACAGACAATGATTCCGATTATGATCGGTATGATTTGTCTGCGCTGCTCCTGGAGGTTGAAGGTATGAGGTACGTGCTGGTGAAATGAGGTCATGATTGCTCGAGGTCAAGAAGGTTTGAACTCCGCTTCGGCTTGCATCAAGCCGATACATCTCAAGTTGGCTATTGGCAACCAAAGTTTGCTGAACTTTGGTTACCGTACTAGCTCTAACTTGGTGGCAGTTCGAAAGAGGAAACCAAGTTCACGAGCAAGCGCCTGATATGGGGAACACCATACATATTCAAAGTCCGCCGGAATATTCCGCCTACACAGTTCTTACCGCTAGCTTCCGGCGGAGTTTTAATTGTTATTTGTCATCCCTATATGAAGTTCGTTGATGTCATATGTTGTGCCTCTCCCACTTCCATTAACCACTTCGTCATTAAGGTATTTTTAGTGTTAGATTTTTGTATGATGTAGTAGTTGAATGTAGTAATTTGAATTTCTAATAGTAAAACACGTCGGGCAACGCGCATCAATAAAGTTCGCATATGTCCACAACATTCCACGCGCGTCGCGTCGCTCATTATGTTCATTCTAAAAGTTTGCGCTCTCCACATGTCGCGTCGCCCGCCCATGGTTCCGATTTCCAGATATGGATGGCTATTCCGTGTCTTGGCCACAATGTTCATCGAGTCCACTACGCCCTATTGCCCAACGTGCGTGATTTGGTAAGCAGCCCAAATCGGTGTTCCCTATAAATTGCTGACCTTTGCAATTGCTGGTCTCTTTTCTAGCTCACAATCTACAAACACTAGTATTTCATCATTAAGATTAGACCTTGCGTTTTCCAAGTATGCAGCTCGTTCAATCGAAGTTTGAGTAGTATTGTTAAACTAAAGTATACTAGTAATGCCTAAACGCGCCGTCAGTACCTCTGATGAAGAACCTTGTGCGAAACGCGTCAGAAGTCAAAGTAAGCACCGTCAAACGATGCATTCGTGTTGTTACTTACGTCGAGGCAGGCGATTCGGAACTGGGCTCACCGTTAGCGGATCCCCATGCATGGGATATATTAGAGAGTTTCCTCACCTCCGAAACCGCCAGTTACGGCGAGACTCTCAATGCGATGGACGATTACCTCGGCAAGCGATTTATCGCAGGCGAGTGGGCGGAGGCGACGACCGCTTTGTTTTCAGGCGATAACAACAATAGCCTCTCCCTACAAAACTTTAGATCAGTTAGGCGGAAATATGTGCCGAATCCTCCAACCAGGTCAAAAGATCATCCTCCGTGTCAGGTAAGCTCTCACATTTATCGTCAACCACGACTGACTTTTTTCAGTATCAGAGCATCTTTCTCGATCTCGAAGCAGGCGATGATGATGATGATGATGAGGAGGAGGAGGAGGAGTTGGTGTTCGAAGAGGGGGAGGATGCAGGCGGTGTTTCACCGCGATCGCATACTGTCATGCAGTTGCCCGCTGCCAAACACAAGTTTTCGGCAGCGGTTGACAGGCTGCAGGACAAATACACAGGCGACGCGCCCAGCTCCTCAAGAGTTCATGTACAAGCAAAGACGTATCTACTTCACGTTCACAGTGAGTTTTTTTTATTCACTAAGGTTGGATTTGACATCGTGCAGGAACCGTCACGCAGTTTATGGCTGATCACCTTCAGAGGAACGGTTTTTTAATCAAAGTGTCACCCTGGTCTCCCGGACAGTTATACGTCGTGTCCGACAGCCCCAAAACCATATTCCTTTCCCTCTCGGATGCCTATTCTTCAGCCGTCAAGAAATGGGACCGCATCTCCGAAGAGGAAGCCGAGTCACTCGAACGCGCCACTCTCAAACTTCCTGACCGCTCCTGGGTCCGAGTTAAAGCCGGCCAGTACAAAGGTGACGTTGCATACGTCTTCGATCCCGACCAAACGAACGACTTCGTCACGGTGTTGATTCCGCCCAGGGTTTTTCCATATCCCATGGCCAAAGGATCGGTCGCGTTGTTTGATAAATCTCGCATTCCAGCCGACCGGTCCACGACGGACATTATCCATAGAGGTATAGTTGTAGGGTGGTCATTCAAAGGGGAGAAGTATTACGGTGGACTTCTCCAAAAGGATTTCCATCGCTATAACATCGAACGGGTCTGCATTCCGCACCCTGACGACATTCGTCTCCATCGCGAATCCGGTTTCGATCTCCCCTTCGTCAAGAAGGCGGAAATCACGTTTTCCTTGCAGATGTTGCGATCTGGCGACTGTGCGCGTTTGACTCGAGGAGAATTCCCTTCAGAGGTTGGTACGGTCTTATCAGTGGATCACACATCCGGCGGTTCGCTTAGTTTAGAAATTAAACATGATGGTGTTCGCGATGAAATTCAAGCTCGCCTGCAAGATCTAGAGCGAGTTTTAAGGGTGGGCGATGAAGTCAAAGTGGTCGCCGGCGCATACTTGGGTGTCCAAGGCCATATTGTCGCAAAGGCGGGAGATGTAATTGACGTATGTCAACACACCACTAACGAAATAGTACGTATTATTCAAATTAAAATCATGCTGTCTTAAACGATTCTGTAGGTCCAAGTCTCTCAATATTACCTGGATCGCCGTCCTTTGAGGCATTCGCTTCAAGGACAACTTATCTCTCAATACATCGAACCTCCTCCCAAAAATCAGACAATTGAAATTGGCGATTTCATAGAAGTTGTAGCAGGAGAGGACGTTGGAAAATCTGGCGTGGTAGAATGGGTTACCCCAGGGGGGGTGATGTTGTGGTTCAGAGATGTCAACCATCCTCTGACTGAAAACGAGTTCAGGTCACCGCACATCGCAGTTCCGGCGACTATATCTCAGCGCATACGCCTTCCCCCCACCCTCAAGTTCACTAAGGACAGAGGTTACGACATCAGGCCTGGAGACTCTATCAGTGTCGCCCGTGGGCCCGAGTATTTGGCTACAGGCATAGTCCAGACAGTGGACTTTATTCAGGCCCGTTTGCAATTCCTATCTGACGGCGATCAGTCACTGGTACGTCGAACTGTTGCATTCATATCGAATATCTCTAACTTTTTTTTAGCTTGACGTTCCTATTGGTTTTGTGATGAAGATGCGGAACGCTAGTACGGACACGTTCAGGTCACAGATCGGCAAAGAGGTTTACATTATTGGGGGAGACAAGAAAGGTTACAGAGCTACCTTGCACGATGTCAATCTCGGCAAATGCACAGTCGCGGTGCACGGTCAACATCGTATCATGCTCCCATCCTGCGACGTCGTCACTCAGTGAGTCATTCTCTACTCTAGGTCATCGAATTACTAACACCCTTTAGATACGGCATGAGCCTTAACGGTGCAATTCTCGACTATCACGACATGATGTCATTCTGCCAGATGCGCAGACGCTCTTTCCTAACGCCCAAACCCCGAAGCGTCACGCCACCGCCCGAAAGACTTGCACCGTCCAGGGCTGATCCAGGTGCATCAACCTCCTCGTCCGGTGTCGCCTGGACTTCCAGGTCCGATGCCGAGGATGGCGATCGCCCAACATCCGACAACAACCCAATAACTGATGTTGCGTCCGCAACGCCTGATCCTTGGGCTGTCGACAACAACGATGTTGAGGATATTATCGAGGCCGCCGCTCGAAAACTTTCAGAAAAACCTGGTAGGTCTTGGTATCAGACAGTGCACTGCTTGGTTTAATTTTCTTGCAGGTCCGACATCATGGTTGCAGGAGTTCTCCCCGACCTTTTTTGCTTATCGCGCCCTGTTTAAAGTCGCTCCCAATTTTCACGGAGGTCGGCTAAACAAACGGCTAGTGCAGACCGAGTGCCCCGATCCCTTTGTTGGCCCAGATGGCCCAGCGCCCAAGGGCACCGTCGCCGTTAGGTGTACAGCTAAAACTGCAGGAGGCGCAATGCAGCATTATTTTATTCCTGGAAACGATCTCACCCCCGCTGATCCCCGCAAGAAAGAACAGGAATGTTTTATTTTGGATGGGTCGTATCGGGGCAATATCTTAATTGTGTCTAAATGTAACACTAAGGCCAGTAATGTAGACTTGAAGTTGATGCGTGACTCTAGCGTCAGCGTCAATCTTCGTTTCGATCAAGTTTGCGTTGTAGAGCCTACACAGGCGTAATACATTACGTACTGTACTATACAATTTGGTTACGTTTGATCTACTTCATACTGTTGTACAAGAGTTCCGAATCCTTCGGACGGTAAACTGAATCATCCATTTCACAATAACAGACGTCTGTATACTACGTTGGCCGTCGTCTCTTCCTCCTCTTCTCGAAACAGCGCAGTGTACAGTTGACCGTGTGTGAACGAATCGGTGCACAAGTCGAGAACCGCCTTCTGTAAGGTTAGCCCTTGGCTTCCGTTGAACGTCGTAGCGTAAGCGGCGCGCAATGGAAACTGCTTTTGATTGACCGTCCAGCTCGAATCCGGGGGATTGAACGTGAAAGTAATCCGAGTGAGTGTAACATGGTCAGACCGCCGCCACGCATAACCGTTACACCAAAAGGTGAAATACTGAAAGCTTAGCTTTTAGTATCAGCGACGGTATATGTACTGATTATGAGAACTCAGGTAAGCCAGCGTGCTTACAGTGAGACAGTGGTGTCTTTCCTGCGTCTCGGGAATCTGCACTTCTATGAACCGGCGATGGCATCGATGAAGACCGGTGATGCAGACACGCGCATTCCGTACCAATCCTTTCTCGACTGATAGATTCCGGTGCGAAAGGAGGATGCGGAGATCCAAAGGAAAAGGAGATGTTGGAGCGCCTGTGGAGCTCAAGTGGCGCTCGCACATGGGAGTCACAGGATATTGGAAATCGCTCCGTCCTTACAATATGTAGAATATAATGCAAGTCCTTAACGTGAGTCAGACATGAGCTGACTCTCAATTCTAAGCTTAATATGCTGTACGCTTGCATTCATGGATCACATTCGGTGCATCTATTAGTGCTGTGGTGAGATATGGCATCAGCGACGTGATTCGTGTCTCAATTTCGTAGATGTTTGAACTTATCTGAAATGACTAGTCTTGTTTGTCGGCTACTCAGCTTGCTTGATCACATCTTCCTCATCCTTGAACTTGATGAGAACACAAACGGGACCGAAAATCTCCTCGTGGACGATCTTCATCGATGGATCGACATTGGTGAAGATGGTGGGTTTGATGGAGTAGCCCTCGCTTCCATGACGTTCACCACCGATTTCAACCTTGGCGCCAGCCGCCTTTCCGGAGACATCAGGCATTTGACTTCTGTATGACAAAGATTTAACTAACTTTACCTAATACCTAATATAGAAAATATATATCATAATTGCAGACCAAATAATAAAGGAATAGATAGGTAGACTACATTGGCAGAATCTGCCAAAGCTACAATATTGTTAGACCTATTAGAATCTATCAACACACTGTTAAGCTGTTATCAAATCCACCTAACACACCTAGCTTTATATAGGTAGACTACAGTGGTGGGATCCACAATCATTGACAGTGTGACAGGGGATAATAATGGGTCGCCTGATGTTAGCAAGCTGCTGGCATCCCAACTAATACATCTGACTTTATATAGGTAGACTACAGTGGCAGAATCTACAATCATTGACAGTGTGACAGGGCACAACAATGGGTTGCCTGGTGTTAACGAGCTGCTGGCATCCCAACTAATACATCTGACTTTATATAGGTAGACTACAGTGGTGGGATGTACAATCATTGATGGTGTGACAGGGCACAACAATGGGCTGCCTGGTGTTAACAAGCTGCTGGCATCCCAACTAATACATCTGACTTTATATAGGTAGACTACAGTGGTGAGATCTACAATCATTGACAGTGTGACAGGGCACAACAATGAGTCACAACCCTCTCTGGGTAGGAGGGTTCCCATGCTATTATTACTAGCTCATGGTGCTGCATTATACATTATGGAGAATTCTTTGATTGCATTACTAGGATTCACAGGCATTACAGCGCAGTACAGCTACGAAATACAATGGACTAATGAACATCAGCAATAGTCCGTTCTCGAAGGGCAGCACGTCTTTCCCGGATTTTTGACAGCGCGCTGTTTTTGCTGACGCTGCGTTGTGAAGAGGAAGAATTAGGGAACACCCGACTGTAAAATATATTAACTTAGAGCTCGAGATATAATGCATGATTACGAACCGAGTTTACCACATCATCAGGTCACATACTTCTTCACTTTCGTCAGGATCTTCCAACAGGTCGAGAATACTATGGTAGAAATTTTCGGAATCTGTGACTGTGTCTGTCCGTGAGAATACAGACGAGGAACTTAACGAAACCGAATCTGAAGGAATAATCAGCCACGAGACGAACGAAGGATCAGATTTCATACGCGCCTGCGTTGCAATATATGCAAGGGAACCTTTTGTCACGCTCTTCATGCCATGGAGGTACGCATTGCCGGAGCGCGTAGCTTTGGGTTCCTTATCCACTGAGCTGGGAGATGTAAATACATGTTTGAAACCCTGTCAAATGTAATTGTTAAAGGTAAGAACTTTATCGTAGAATTAACTTACAAAGACGAGTATCTCACTTCTTAATAATCCCTTCCATGGATCTTCGGAATCGTAAACATAGCCAGAATATAAGAAAATAGGCCACTGATCACCACGAACTGCGGTTTCACCGCTCTTAAGACTCTGCTTAGTTCTGGGTAGCGTCATGATATTTAGATTAAGGGAAGATATGATTTGAGACTTACTCTGCATTCAACCAGTCGAGGCCTGCGGGACAGAGTAACGCACCAGTAACCTCATGATTAAACCCCTGGTCGGACTTGATGTTTCGTGAGAGAGGTGGTATGACTGCCTGTCCTCTGGGCACAAGCCATTCGAGGACAGCAGCTTTGAGGGTTTTAGTATCGTCTCCTCGTGCACCAGAAGCCCCTTTACCCAGCTGCAAAAGGTGAGTATGATGAACTTCCAACATACAAAACTTACCATTTCTCCCACATAAATAATATCCTCCTCCTCGCCGTTTGTTAGACGATCCATCAGACCAGGATACGAATCTAGTAACTCTATGAATACCCTGTGTTCCCGTTGAACACTGATGTCAGCGGTAGGGTGAGAATACTTGCGGCGGCTACTAATAGACGCAACTGAACTCACTCAGCTGGAAAATCCTCCAGGGGAGAGTCCTGCAATTCTTCGAGCTGGAGTATACCTGCAGTCAAGAGAGCAGGATAGTTACATAATGCAAAAACAGTACGACCAAAATGTCAACCATGCAGAACAAGGGGATTTGATGAAGTCCTGCTCAGGAAAATTCAGGAACGCACTAGCAAGAGTGCAACTTGAACCACTCACGCCTTTTTACGCGGACCCATATGAAGCGCCGAACCACTGCGCTTGCGTGATGCTTCATCAAGAGAGGGAGTATTCTCATCGTTACCCATAGTCATACTAAGCTGTACGATGTGGTAGTAGTCTAAATGCCATAGGAAATGAGACACTTTATATATCAATTCAAAGTGTCACAAAAACAACTTGTCATCCGAGTGCCATCGATAGCGTAATAATAAAAAATCTTGCCAATCAAGCGCCATCGATAAAAAAATCTCGCCATCCTAGCGCCATCGATGCTGTGAGGGAAATCAAATCCCCATGCTACAATACTGGTGCGCATGATGTAAGCTCATGCGCAGGTACCAGTAGTAGTACACTCATCGGCATTATAGCGATTAACCCCACTTAGTTCCATTTTATTTCGCGCCTTTCTATTTTTTTTCACAAATAATATACGAGTCCCAGGCAGTTAGAAATGAGATATGTTCTAATTGAGGTTGTTTATTTTATTTTATTTCTGAGTCACAGCAACATGCTGAGATCAGAGTATGCCGAGGTGGCACACATAGCGACGCAGCTCGAAGTCTCAAAGTCCAATGCCAACAGTCATGGATGAATTCCCGTGGACATTCCCTACTGAAAACACATCCTCATGAGTACTGGCTGGGTCAGGCAAATGAACATGTTTGAGAGGCATTGGCAGCCTCTTCCAAAAAGAGATTATGATATGCTGCACACCCCTTCCTTCAATCAGTATGAGAGACTACTCGTCTACGACACTCACTGGATGCCCTATCCCTAGCACACTGACTCGCCAACCTCATTTCTGTACTGATCCAGCCTCAGGTCTTCGTCAGTCCCTTTGAAAAACACGACCGCCGAATGGTTATACCTGTTCTGTTGCAAATTTCATGCTAGGCAGAGCCTTGTTAGAACAAGGTCGAGAAAAAGCTGAGTTTGGCTCACCATCAATTTTTTCTCTTGTACTGACACCAGCGAAAACTCTCGCAACAAAGCAGACAGACACAAGCTACGCCCAAGTCAGTGCTAGCAGGCAATCTGAAAATGAAGTTCGTCAATAAAACAAGGACACAGAGAAACAGAAAAGACATACACAATTTTTGCCGAAAGGATGACAGACTTTGAGTAACAATGATACCATCATCAATCAATTGTGAAGGTATGCCTGAGGATGATGGTTTTTGGGTGGATCCGCGATAACAATGCAAGTCGGGGACGTGGTAGCTGGAAAGGGGTTCACTTAGAGAAAAGACGTCCTGATATAGTGAATGATTAAATTCAAACTCAGATTCACGCGGCATTTGCCGGCTGGGTCTGAACATAGAATCATTCACTATATCAACCGCTATGTCATCAATAGTGTTGGTTTTTCCTGCCTCCTCATACATATGTAGTTTAGCTACTAATTTCAATATCGATATCGATTCGTGCGATTTGGCCTTTAGCAAAGGCAGCGGTGCATTATGGTGTCGGTCACACTTACACGACCTGTGCCGAAGTTTGTCATAGTCGTGAGTGCATACTATTAATGGGACTTCTGAGTCAATTCCGAAAATTCAAGTTCAAGTTAGTTCCCAGTCACAGCATAAGCTTGAGAATTTCAGCAACCGCGGCATCACGCACCACGGTGGCACTTCAAGAATTGACTATGGTCACCACGGTAGTAGTACAAAAGAAAGGTGTTTGCGCACAGAAGTCACCCACCACACTCGCCACTGGCAGGCTGGTGTCCGAGGAGTCTCAGGCTGGCACAATCATCATCGAATTTCTCATTGTCTAGTATTAGTAACTCCAACGAGTCTTCAAATTAGTCTGAGCACAGTAGTGGTTCCAAATTAGTCATTCACTATAAATACCAATCACTGTACATTTGCAGTCTTCTTTCTGCTCACTGATCACTGCCTCAATACGATATATCAAAGTCGTGCTAACTACACTGGGATCGACTTCCAGTAAGTAAACTTGGCATACCAACTTGAATAAACACTACTATTAGTACGTTACAATGAGGCTTTTACCTATGCAAACCGAAATTAATGTTCACTTCGACTCAGGCTACTAGTACGTGCCAACCGTGACTACTATACTAGTTACAGGCAAAGCCCGGCAATACTCAGGCTAGTAATGACTCCGAGTCAGACTGGCAAACACGCGGCACTACCGATTGACGAACCACCCTCGAAGCGCATAAGGAATGACTCGAATGGTGAGTGATGATGATACTCGTCGCAGTTATTCCTCATGCGCATAATCGTGACAGGGACGTGCCATGCGCCATCCCCACTTGAGGATGCAGGGACGTGGTCTTTCCTAGAGCGATACCTCAAGTCCAAATTATCCTACGGACAGGCGGAAGAGGGATTAATATCATACCTCGGCGATCGATACCGCGAGGATGACTGGAGAGAAGCCAAACTTGCGGTATTCTCTGGTGACGGCGACGACTATGAAGCTATGAATAATTTGATGGCCTTAAAAAGAAGGTACATACCCGAGCCCTCTGTATTGAGTTCGATGCTTGTAGCTACATTTGCATCGAAGCGCAAACAAGTAAGTGAAACATTCACTTCGATGAGCTTACACTAAGGAAATGTAGGTGAAACATTGTATTTTCATCGACAGGGAAGCAGGAGAGGGTGACGATGATGAGGAGGAAGAAGAAGAAGAAGAAGAAGAAGAAGAAGAAGAAGAAGAGGGGGATGAGTATGACCTCCCTCCGCGTCCACGAAAAGTCACAACCTTGCCGGGACAGTCAGCTAAACATACATTGTCTAAGAAGATCGATGAGATCTTCAACGCATACGACGCTCAAGCTCGCGCTTCCAAGCCACCAGGAAGGCTCAGACGCATTCCTTACAGAGCTGCCTGGTCCTCCGACACGATCGACAACAGGATGTATTTGCTTAACGTTCACAGTACGTTTAATCTAAATCACGTAGCATCTAACTCATTATTTGGTAGGAACTGTCACGGACTACGTCGCAGAACACCTTCGAAGTAAAAAATTCTCCGTTATTGTGTCCCCCTGGGTACCGGGACAACTTTACGTAGTCTCAGAGAGTCCCCGGGCCATCGCATCATCACTCCCGATATCACACAAACTTTCCGTGAAAGATTATTTTCGGATCTCGGACAAAGAATGTGCGATAGTCGAACATCCACAATCCCAACTGTCCAGTCCAGGGTGGGTAAGGATCATACGTGGCAAGTACAAGGACGCCATGGCCTATGTCACAGATTTGAAGTCGGCAAACGAGTCGCCGTCTGGTCACCCTCTTGTCTGGGTCTTAGTTGCTTTACGGGACTTTCCCTATCCTATGCCTAAGGGGTCTGTGGCATTGCTGGACCGATCTCGCCTTCCGGCTGGCAATGCAGTATCTGATATCATTCATGATGGGGAAGTTGTGGGATGTTCGTATAAAGGAGAAGAGTACTACAAGGGGCTGTTACTAAAGAGTTTTCACCATGATCTCTTAAATGTTGTCAACACCCCTCATCCCGAAGAAATTCAACTGCATATTGACTCTGGATGGGACAGGCCCTCCATGAAGATCGCTGAGCGGGCATTTTCACTGGAGTTCCTGCGCGTGGGCGATTCAGCCAGGGTCATCATCAGGGAATTTGGCGCAGAGATTGGTGAAGTAGTCTCGACAGACCATACATTTGGTTCTGTCCGTTTGGAATACAGCATCGAGGGAGACAAAATACAATCAGAAGTTCGACTCCAGGACGTCGAGCACGTGTTTTGGGTTGGCGATACTGTCAGAGTCGTAGTGGGTATATACTTAGGTTTAGAAGGTCACATTGTTTCAATGACAGACGACATATTTCACATTTGTCAAACCTCTATGAAGGAAGAGGTGGGTCCATGGTGTCAGTACAAATCTTGTAAAACTAACTTAATGCATAGGTCAAAGTTTCAAAGTACCATTTGGATCGTCGCTCTTTGAAGCACACATTACAAGCACAGCTGCCAACTCAGCAATTTTTTGAGCCTCCCCCCGACCCCGATGATATTCAAATCAGGGATTTATACAAGTCCTTTTCAGAGAGCATATAGGGAAATGCGGCGTCGTAGGACTGGTTTCCTTCGGGAGGGACCATGCTGTGGTTCCGGGATGTGAATCCTATGCTGACCACTGGTGACGATACAAACTTAGGACCCCCAAGTATTCAAGTTCCTGCAGTCATGGTTCACGGATGCGCCTCCCCCCAACAATCAAATTTACGAAAGACAGGGGTTATGATGTCAGACCTGGGGATGTGGTGAGTGTCGCTCGTGGGCCGGAGTATGAGGCGACGGGGGTCGTACAAAGTGTCAACATTCCAGAGGCTTGCTTGACAATACTGTCCACCCATGACCACACAATCGTAAGTTCAATGCAGCTCAACTCGAACACCTGTTAAATTGTTACAGACCAACGTACCCATCAGATTTGTGATGAAATTGCGGCAATGCGAATGTGGACTCATTCAGTCACGTTATCGGTAAAGAGGTATTCATTGTTGAAGTAATTTAAAGGGCTACCGAGCTACACTGTACAATATTGGGAGCAAGGATTGTACCGTTGCAATACATGGACAGAAGCGTACAATACTCAAACGCCCCGATGTCATTACCAGGTGAGTGGAATGCTTAGTATATTCGTGGTAATGCAATTGCTTACGATGGTTCAGTTATGGCATGGGGTTAAATGGTGCGATACTCGAAGGGAATGACCTGGTTTCTTTCTGTGATATGTGGCAAAAATCATATTTGATAGTGCAAACCTCTGAGAAGTATAACCCCCCCCACCCGAAAAAATAGTCCCCTCCAGTTCTATCACAAATGCCAGCTTGTCGTCCTCTAATGTCTTGTCCCACTGGACCACCAACCCCGAGGATATCGACTTAGTGCTCAACCCCTCCGGGCCAGCAACAGACAATCGGACCGCTAATCTCAACTCATCAGCATCTGACCCTTGGACTGTTAACGAGGGTGACATCCAGGACAACATTGAGGCTAGAGCCAAGAAACATGGAGACAACGGTGAGACCTTCAAAATGAAGGCATCGGCTCACTGTTCACTTACTTTATTATTATGATCATAGGCCCACTATCCTGGTTAATGAAGAAGAGTTTTCTTAGCATTGCTTACGCATCATGCATTGTTGAAAGTCTCGCTGAGGTTTGAGCAGGGCAGGTTATGCAAACGATTCGTATCAACTGCATGTCCTGACCCCTTCTGTGGCGCTAATGGACCAGCACCTGAGGGTGTGTTGCAGTATTCTGCACATCCAATGGCGCAGGGGCTCAGATACAGTACTATCATGTTCCCGCCAGTGATCTTAGCCCAGCTCATCCACGCAAAAAGAATCAACATTGCCTCGTTTTGGAGGGGGAGTATTGCGGCTCGTCCTACCTGTGTCAAAATGTAACATGAAGTCAAAGACCGTCGAGGTTTTTATGATGACTACAATTACTACAACTCTGCATTTGGACCAGATATGTCTTGTGGAACTCGCACAACACCGATAGATGGTAACTTTGCATTTGTTCATAGTAATTTGACCGTGACTGTCACTGTACTGTTTTTCACATGTAGTATCGTATCTTTCTGGTAATGCTCAGTATGTCACATACATTTTCTATCAGTGACAGCACAACAGTGCTTCGGAAGTGCCAGCGACTCCGACTTCAATGTAGGTTTAAGTTTTCAATCGCAAACGGTCAGGCACCTCCGATATTACTATTCAGCTACACCGCGATCTCATCTTTCACCACTACAACCACCTAATTTCATACGCACATATTAATCTCCACGTTCAAGTCTTATGTGGCGTCTCTTACGAGAAACAAGTTGAGATCAATGATTGGACACATCAGGATTCAGAATGGTGTTCACTTTATCTCAGCGGAGACCCGTGGTCTTTTTGGGTACGTGATGGCTACGGCTCCTTTTTTTATGTTATTGATCATCATGATCAGCTCCGTCTTTAATGACTTTGGTTCAAAAATTTACTTGTGTGGATCCTACAGGCGAGCAAGCTCTTACTGGAATAATTGTGTCAGTGGAAAAAGTAAGTCTTATGAACTATAACCCCGACGTCCTAGTATCTATACTATCATTAAACAAGACAAGGAATGGCTGGTAACATGCCTCGATGAATCAAGACAAAGTCTTGAAGATGGCGATTTTGTCACGTTCACGAAGTGCAGGACATGACTGAACTGAATGGTTGTAATCCTTGCAAGGTCACAGTGAAGGGACCAGATACTTTCACCATCGGTGACACTCCCGACCTAGGAGAGTATGTTCGAGGTGGGATCTTTACCCAGGTGAAAATGCCCAAAATCCTCCAGTTTCTCTTGAAGATTGCAGGGCATGACTCAAAGATTTGCTGCAGCAATGATAAGAGAAAGATGTGTGGGCTAAGGAAAACAATCAGTACTAAAGGTCTAGGCTAGCAACATGCTGGGTGACATACATCTGAAGAGTCAAACACAAGCCTGAGTGGGTCTGGCCCGTGCCCGTCGGTCCACTCCAGAACAGCTGGCCCGTGCTGGTGTTGAACATGATCCTTTGGAGGACTGTGGAGAAGCTGGTGGATAGCATTGTTAAACTTTTCCTCGAACTGCAGACGAGCCCAGATAATACATGCCTTGAAAGTCAAGGCTTGTTCAAGTAACCAGATATGAAACAATCTGGGTCAGGCCCAGAGTATTTGAGGGAGCTCTCGAGGTAGTTAGGCTCCGAAAGATATTGATTGACAGATTCCACAAGCTTAACAAACATTGCGTTGAACTCTTGCCAAGCCCACTGTGTTGTTATCAGACCCTGCTAGTCAAGAAAAAACTTAAAGAGCGCACCTCAATCAGTGTGTGTGTAATGGCACTCGGGAAGTTTTTGACTGTGCACAACAATGTCCGCTTCTCTGGGGGATCTTGCGAAGACGAGTACGACTTGGTGAGATGGGGAATCACAACTTGGGTATTGCCTTTTGTGCCCATGGTACCAGATTCTAGGACTGGTTTTTCATACAAGATGCAATGCTGATCCACGTATACACCTACAACAAGTGTTGTCAGATGAAATTCACAGAGAAAAAGAGGAAGCCTTACGTGCAGCAATGTTATC